AAGACGGGGAGGAATCTCTAGTCCTAGTCCTATGTTTTCATATAGAGGTGATGGAATCAAGGGAGATATGATTGATTCTTAATCCTAATTGAATAGTTCGATGCAAAGAAGATAAAATATGAGTAATCCCACCATCAGATTGGTTGAAACTCTCTATTAGCCAAGAAATGAAGAAGAAAAATTAGACCCTTAAACTTAAAGAGATGAATTTCAAGTAGCAGAGGATCCATTAAGTCCTCGAATAGTTTATCTCAGTTTCAACCCAAGAACAAGAAGCGTACTTAGAGAATGATATTCATTTTTTCCAAATCATTATAAATATATATTTTAAAATTTCAGCTTAATTATGATTTTAATCTCTAATAGAAATCATCTTCAATAACACCTTGTAATAAGGTAATATATAGAATAAGATCATAGAATTTTAGTCTTTCAGTAATTAAAGATATTTTCTTAGAATACAGATTTTATAATCTAAAATAAACTAATCAAAGAATGTAAAATTTATATAGATAAAATCCTTAAATTTAATGAAAGATTAAGATTGATAATTACTAAAATAAAGTTTAATAATTTAAATTTTTTTTTAAAGATAATCATTCAAAATTTAATAATATTTCTAATAATATTAAAGATAAATTAGAATAATTTTTATAAATTCAGAATTGATAAAATAAATATAATATGATTCTATTTTGAAATCTATTTTGCAAATATTCTTTAAAATTATTAAATTAAAAAGTGTGGACAAGGTGTCTTCAAATTAAAAATAGATGCTAATAAGAATGAAAAAATTGAGAAAATAATTTAAATTAAGATTTAAGTCTTTTGGGTAGGATGATAAAATAGAGAAAATGGTTAATGTAGTTTTTAATTAAAAAATAAATAAAATGAGGACTACAAGTGAAATCATTAGTTATAGTAAGATAATCTGAATAATCATCATAGATTTGTAAAGTCTTTATAAGTTAATAAACTATCTGATTCTATAATAAAATTAAATTGTTTTAATAATCAATCATTAATTGTATGTATTATTAATCTAATGATGATGAATTTTTGCATGATATCATTCAATATTACATCATTTAGAATTAAATAATTTTTGAATGATTAAGTAATTGCTTGCTATTGTGGCAATTGGAACATTATCAATAGTGCCTTATCTTGACAACACAGATTATAATCCATGGTTTGAAGGAGATACATTCGTTGTCTCCACTGATGGAAGCTTAAAAAGAATTAGTAGATTCGATCCAACATGGAAGCCATAATCAGCTTATGAGTAATTATAAATTTAGATAATTCTAGAGATTATCATGAACAAATCTATCAAGAATAAGAAAGATAACGTAAAGAAAAGATGTCAGATTTCTTAAAAACAACAGCCCATATTTGTACAAATGGAAAAGATCATACAAAAATGAATTTATAGACTTATATGAATGAATTTATCAATGGTCCATGCTAACCAGCTGTTTTAGTACCTGGTTTAATTGGTACAGCTTTATAGGTATATATATTGAATTCTATAGTTAAACAGGTAAAAATTGATTGTGAAACCTTATAATCTAAAAGACCAGATATATTTGAAAATTGTGGTTGGTAAACTTGTAGTTCATCTAAATTCTGGTTGAAAAAACCAAGTGAAGAATACAGAATGTGGATAGGTGCATTAAGTGGTCCATTTTCAATTGCAATGACCAATAAGAAAGATAAATGTTTTGGAGATTTTATTGAACTATATTATGATAAATCTAAAAAGGATCCAAGAGAAAGATATACAGCTGCTCCAGGTATTGAAATAACTTGGGCTGGTAATACTCCAAAATCAATGGATAATGAATGTGGAACAACTGCCATTTAAGAAATAGCCACTGATTCCGTTATCAAAGCAGCTATGTGTGATCCTAAAGGATATCATGTTTTCTCAGATACACTTAAAAATATGGGATATATTCCAGGATTAACAATGCAAGCAGCTCCATATGATTTTAGAAAATCTATTGCAGCTTCAGAATCCCAATAATATATTAAAAAGTCTGTTGAAACATTCTACAGATTGACTGGAAAGAAAACTTATATTTTTGGACATTCTTTGGGTTCTCTTCATTCTACATAAGCAGTTTATTCAATGACTTAAGCAGAAAAAGATAAAGTTGCTGGTATTGTGACAATAGCTGGACCTCTATTGGGAGCAACCAAGACATTCAAACCTTAAGTAGGTGGAGATGACAGTTTTATGTTTAAAGTATTAATCTTGGATGCTGGTATTAACTGGTATGCTTAAAAGAAGATGGCTCGTACTTCTGCTAGTATTGTTGATTTGTATCCAAAAGATACATTCACAAGATTCAGAGGAGAACCATGGATGTAAGAAATTCTTGATAGAATGGATTGGGATAAAGAATTCATTTCAACTGGTAAGAGACCAACAAGACCAAATCCATTAGCCTGGTTCCCAGAACCTGATGAGATTTGTGGTGCCAATTTTGCTGACAGATCTAATCATTGTTAATTATTAATGCATGACATGAGTGAACACTTTTTAAAAGTAGTTGATAAATTGTATTATTCAACTGAAGAATCTACTAAAGAAGCTATTACTGATAATATTAATGCTAATGATGCCAAATAAATATTAGATTATGTTGAAGAAACTACAAGAATAAAAGCTAATAATGTTGAACATCCAGGTGTTCCTATGATTGTAGTCTATGCTGCACATGAAATGACTCCATTCCAATTTGAATATAAGAAACAACCTAAACCTATTGTTGATTCTACTGATGATTTCTATTTCCCAGATCATATTACTAAAGCTATTGGAGATAGTACAGTCCTTGCTTCCTCATCTATGACTCCAGGTATCAAATGGATTTATGAACATAAAAATGGATTAACTAATATTCCAACTAAATTAGTTGAATATTGCTCATAATATAATGGAGATTCAGTCTCTTCTATTTATGATTCAAAAGATGCTCAAGGATAAAAACTATTTACAAATTCAGGATATTTAGGTCTTACTTGTTCTTGCAAATTTGGAAAAACTGTATATTAATTTTATTTATCATTTTTAGGGAATCGACCATTGTGGTCATGCCTGTATGATTCAAGACACTTTGTTTATTGAATTTGCTGCTGATGTTCTAACCACACACTGGAAATCTGCAATTTCCTAAACACCAGCAACAGAAACTGAACTTAAAAACATCCATGAAGGATGCACAAATTTACATTGATTATATCAATATAAATTATAATTTAAATAATAAAATTACACTAAAAAATTTTATATCAAAATCATTTTAATTACAATTTCTAACTTATTTTCTATTAATTCTTATTGCCAAAATTAAAGATATCTTTGTGTCTTCACTAAATTAATAGGGTTATCTTAATTAGTTTATTTAATTATCTCTACAACAAATTAATTTATCATCTTCAAAAATATTATTATAATTAAAAGGCTTTTTCATTATTTCATAATTTAGAAGATTAGATTGTTGGAAACAATTTAAATTTAATATTTTAGATTATTGTAAAAGCTATAAATACAAAGAACCTTCTTAATAATTTAAATATTTTATCAAAATAATTAAGCATTAGTAAAATTCTTCAAATAATTTGAATTATTCTTTAAACTAGTTAAATAAGAATATTTCAATTTTATATAAAAATGAACCTCTATCTATAACTTTTGTGATGTAATCCATTATTAAATTATATGATAATTATATTTATTTTCTAAATTATTCTAATCTTTTTTGAATATTTAATTTTTCATATTTCTGGCTAATAACTAATAAGATTCCCATACTAATTTAAGGAAATACCATATATATGAAATGAATTGTTGCATATAATGATGATGTATGTTAGTAAAATATAGGATTATGAAGCTTTTTTATAAAATTTAAGAGGATTTCATAATGATAGTTTAATCTTTTTAGGAAGTTTTTAAGAATAACAAATATTTTATAATAATAATATTTAAATTATCAAAATCAGTTTTTATTAGTTTCACTTTTTATACTATATATAAATTCATATATTTATAAAACCTTTAATTTACATAATTAAGGATAAATGTCATAGAGCTAATATTAAGATATAGAATTTTTAGTTTTTGGAGATTCAAGTAAATGATGAATTTTTAAATTAGATGTGGGTAAAACTTCACTTCTTAAGTAAATAAGTGTAGAAAAATTTGAAGAAGATTATTATCCTACTACAGGAATAGAATTAATTATAAAATAAATATAAATTGGAGATGAAATATTGAAATTTCGTTTATGGGAATTTCCAGGATATTCAAATTTTAAATAGTTTGCAAGAATGTATTATAAAAGGGCTCAAGGACTTATATTACTATATGATATCACAGAGTAATAATGTCATTTAAATTAATAAAGTTATTAGTCATTTAAAAATATAGAAATACATCTAGAAGAAGCAATTTAACATCATGATTCACTTTTGAATATCATTTTAATTGGAAATAAAGTGGATAAAGATAGTAAGAGATAAGTTTCAATAGAAGAAGCAATGGATTATGCAAATAAAAAGGGAATCCATTTTAAAGAAATAAGTGTTAAAACTAAATAAAATTTAAATTTAACACTTGAATAATGTATAAGTGATGTTCTTGAAAAAGCTAAAATTTAAGGTATCGAATTAAAAGTAAATTAATTAATCTACTACTATAGAAATCTATTAATAATAATAATTAAGAGACTGAATCATAAAGTCTCAATTTAGTAAATAAATTAAAGTAGAATCTGTAAAAGTGTTATTGAATAATATAATATAAATTCATTAAAAAAATAAAATAATCATATAAATTTTAAGATAATAACAATATAATTATTTGCTTGAAATCATTTATAAGAATAAATATTCCATAATTAAACATATTATAATATAGAATAAATAAAAGTATGATTCAAAACTTTTGCATTTAATAAAATTCTTATATATATATTTATTATCAAATAATGGATTTATAAGTATTAAAACAAGTGAGATAATATAAATTTAGAAAAATATTAGGCACTGGATCTTTTGCAACAGTATATTTAGGAGAAAACTTAAAAAAAGAAATTTTTGCAATAAAGGAAATCAAACTTGATATTGCTGAAGGATCTGATGAAATATAAAAATTGCATACATATTTTCAATAAGAAATAGATATCTATTTGAAAAACAAGCACGATAATTTAGTATGTTTAATAGAAGAATTTACTGAAAAGTAATTTCGCTATTGTGTATTCGAATATTGTGCTAATGGAGATTTAAATAACTTTATCAAAAAAAATATTCTTAATGAATAAGAAGTCAAGACAATATTTACTTAAATTTTAGAAGGAATGAAATATCTTCATGAAAAAGGAATTGTACATAGAGATTTGAAATTAGACAATATTTTGATAGATAAAGATAACATAATAAAAATAGCTGATTTTGGGTTTGCTAAATATTATTAATAAAATGATATATTTGTTTCATATTGTGGAACTCCAGCAACAATGGCACCAGAAATATTAAAGTATTTTATTATTATCTAAATTTAAAGTTAAGAACCTTATGATTTTAAATGTGATATTTGGTCTTTAGGAGTGATTCTATATTTTATGATTTTTAAGAAATATCATTGGAAAGGAAATGTTAGAAGCATAGTTGATTTACAAAGACAATATAAAAACTTTACTGTAAAATAATGTATTTATATAAGGTTTAATTTGATAATTAAGTTTAATTATCAAATGATGGAAAAGATATCATTAGTAGTATGTTAGTTCCTGATAAAGAAAAAAGAATTAATTATGCAGAATTGTTCTCTCATCCTTGGTTAGAAGGAAAACTTAATTAATCTTAAAATTTATTAGAATCACAATGTATAATAAAATAAAAATTAACAATAAAATCACCAGGATAAATAATTGGAAATATAATTAAATAATAAAGAAGGATTAAAGGAGAATTTTGTTCAATACTTGATTAATGTATAAAAGATTGTAAAAATGGAGAATTGAAAGAAAATTTTATAATATTTAGAAAGTAAATTAATTAAGAAAAATTTCAAGTAAAATAATATTAATTAATTTAAGATTACAATTTAAAGTGGAGATTTAGTAGATAAACCAGAATTTAAGGTTTTTGATTATAAATATGAATTATTTGAATTTTTGAGCAAACTATATAATTAATATGGAATAGATTATAGAGAAACTGCACAAAAAGAATATGAATTAATTAATTTTTTAAGGTAAAACCCATTATCCAACAGTATTACCTTTACATTTGATGGATTAAAAACATAAGATGAGATTAAAATAGTGAGGGAGTCAATTATTGAAGAGGAAATAAATAATTTTGAATATGAAGATTGGAAAATGGATACCTTGGAGATAAATAACATTAAGGAAGGATTAGTTGAGTGTATGAGTAATGATAGATTCAGATTTTACAAGTTAGATTAGTTGTATTAAAGTAATTAAAGTAAACTTAATAATATATTAAATAAAAATTGAATTTTAATAAACATATTTAATATACTTAAATCTATATTTGTTATTCAAGTTATATATAACATCATAATTGCTTAGTATAAGGTGTACTAGCAATATTCTTCTTATTTATTAAGTGATCTTAACAAAATATTTGAAAATTGGCCAATCGCAGGATTAGCAGGAATATTAAATATTTGATATGAGAATTATAAACATATACTGAACAGAATATATTAAATTAAAGTAATGAATTTATATATTAAATATCACATACTACTTTAAATTTTTTTAGTTTAAGATTTAATATATAATACTTATTTATTTTAATTCAATTTACTTAAATTTATCTAAATTCTAGATCTAAATATTAACATATTCTTATATTTTATATAAAATAGTAATAATGTTGATGATTTTAATTTAATAAGAAAGAACTATTTACAATAACTCTTTTAAAATAATAATACAATCAACAAATAAATATTTATAGTATTAAAATTTTATAATCCCTATTCTCAAATAAATTCAATTCATTATATATCTATTTTAAATGAGCTTAGTATTAGTAGTAAGCAAAACATGTCCACATTGTATAAGAGTAGTTTTAACTTTAAACCATTTAAAAATTCCTTATGAATTGAAATATATAGATATGGAGAATACACCAGATTGGTTTATAAAAGCTAGTCCATTAGAAAAAGTTCCAATACTTTTTGTAGGTGATACAATCCTTTTTGAATCCCTTGTGATTATAGATTATATAAATACACTTGTTCCTTAATCATTACTACCAAATGATAATTTATAAAGAGCATTGAATAGAGCTAGAGCAGAATTTTCATAAGAAATAATTGAAATTCTTTGGAGTTTGTTCTCAGCAAAAACATTAGAAGTACATTATAATATGATATATAGACTTTTAATTTACATATGAAAGAAATGAGATAGCTATTCTCTTAATTAGAAATGTGGCTTTAATAAACAAAATTTATATCAGACAATATTTTAACTCTAGCTGATTTTGCATATGCTCCAATTTTTACTATATTACCTGCTTTAAAATAATTTATTTAATTTGACATATTTGATGGATTTCCTAGATTAAGAGAATATGTTGACAATCTTCATGCACTTCCTTAATTATAAATGAGTTTAGTAGATAATTATGATCTACTCATCTAAAAGAAAATATAATCACGAGAACCATATTTTTTAAAGTAATGAAATATAATTAGTATTTAAATCATATTCAATCTTTTATTTGAGTTTTATAAATAGTTTATTAAAAAATATATATCAAAATGGATTTAAGAAATTAAATCAAATGAGTTTGAAAATTCTAAGAGAAAATTTGATTTAATTTTTAAAGGAGTATATTTATATATGTAATCAATATTAATAAATCTTAGATTTTTAATTAACTTATATTGTTTAAAAATGTTAGATTTATAAATAATTTATATAATTATAAATTTTAGATTATTATTCTTTAATAGAAATACAAAGAATAGTTACAATATTTATTATTTAGAGTAATATATATGTTTTAAATTAATTATACATATAAAATATTTCTTAATGATTATTGATTAAGATAATTATGAATATATATTAAAATAATCATGGATAATAATTATAAAATAATTATACTTAATAAAAATAATCTGTGAATGTTTTTTCTATTTATTTGTTTTAAGCTGCAGGTTTAACAAGTTATTATTATTTTGGAATGATAGAGTAAAGCTTATCTAACTTGATATTTATAATTTAATCCCATTCTTAACTTTTATATGGTTACATTCTTTATTTGATTTTAGAGAATAGAATATTAAAATCATTAGGCATTCTTTAGAAGTACCTTAAAATTAAGACTGATATATCTGAAATTCTTATATTATAAAGAAAGGCACCAAATAAACAGTTTTCTGCAATTAATCTCTATTAAATCTAAAGAGTAAAAATAATAAAATTTTACATATTAAGAATGACTGAATTAATCATAGGTTTAGATATCTGATATAATCTTTAAGCAGGTCATCAAGGATCTTTTCTCTTGTATTAATAGGGCACAATTAATAAACTAAATAAAATGTGATATAGAATTACATCTAATATAACTCCAAATATTTCATCTGTTATCATTTATCTAGTAATTTCAAATTCTAATATCCATTAGATAACATAAAATAATTAAGACATCTTGTGAATGTAATTACTTAAATCATTTAGATTGATATATTTAAATATTAGTAATATTGATTAATATATCTAAATTCTAACTTGTTTTTTACTTGTTGTTAATCGATTTAAGTATTTCAAATTTTAGAATATCTTCAATAATTATAGTAAAGGTTTATAATAGAGCTTATAAATATTTTGGATACTTTTTTGTCCTAATTGTCTTTCTTAATTAAATTCTTTATTTATAGAATCTAAATGAAATTATACTTTTTAAACTACAAGTAAAATCCATTCATAAAGTTGATCTATCATAACTTATTTCAATTAACCAATTTATCCAGTAGTATTTATCATCATTCTAGTTAATTTGAGCATATCAAAATTAATTGATTATGCAAATAAATTTAAATAGGCTTTATCATCAACAATCTACATAATGACACCGTAAAGACTCCTTACATTTTCATTTAACATACTCTATAAGATAAAAACTATATCTCCAGTGTTTTAAATTTAATCTAAAAATTATAAAACATCATTTTTTAATTTTTATATTAATTAATCAGATGTTAATTAATCTTTAATGGATTCATTTTCAACATTTAACAAATACATTTTGACTTTATGATAAAAGGTAATAATCTTTTAATTAGGAATCATACGAAATTCATGAAAATCAGAAAAACATTCTTTAGGTATGTTAATTTGATTTATTTAATAAAATACATCTTCCATTTTAATTTTTGCATTGATAAAAATCTTTAAAGATTTTAAAATCAATTCTTAATCATTAAATAAAAATATTCTACTAAAATTAAAGATAGTTTTTCTATCAATTTACATTTTCTATATAATATCTTCAAATTTAATAAGAGCTTATTGATCAAATAGTACTTTCCAAATCTTATATAAAAATCTATCTGTAAAAGGTGATTATTTTTTTAAGTATAAGAATGCAAAATCAAATGCTTTACTATAAAGTTCTTAATAATGAAATTGTTTAAATAAATCTAAATTTATTGGATATAGAAATTATTCCATCTTATAAAATTATAATTTATTAATAACATCTAATTGATATGTTGTACATTTAATTGATGCAAATAATCCCATTGCATAATACTTGAATGCCAATTCTTAAATATTCTGATCTTAATTTAATTAAATTATTTAAGCAAAAAATTCTAAATATTATTCAATCATAAAACAACTAATTTCTTTCAAAATATGTTTGATATTATTTCTTAAGAATTTATCATTAATCCATTAATTATTTTGAATAATCCAAGAATTAAAAAAACTTGCAATAATTGGCATAACAAATGAATGTAATTAACTATAGTCATATTATCTTTAAAATCTAACAAGATTTCTTAAAAATTTAAGTCCTACTTAAACAGCTTCTATAGTATTTAAAGTTTTGATTAAATTTAAATTAAGTTCAATCCATTATGGAGTATGATTAGCAAATATAGTCTTACCTGCAAAATTAAGTAAACTAATAGAATTAATTTTAGATATGTCTGATACCATAATATTAGAAGTGATTTAATAGATAATATCTATACTTTATTTATCATTGGAATAGTATTTTTAATAAATTTTACATATTTTACCAAGAGATTCCCATATTTTAATGTTTAATGGTAATAATTCAGTTAGTTTAGCAATAAATTATTAATATTTAACAATAGACCATACCATTTTAATATGATTAGTGATTGGATCCATATGATCTAAATGTTAATTTTGTATCATTTTTTCAAGTTCATTTTAATCTAATATTTAGAATTTAATTTCTTTCATTATAGTTTATAAATTTCTTTTATTTTTTACTTCTGCTCTTTTAATTTTATGCCAATCCTTTTCTTTAAAATCATCTCTAATTTCTGAAGATAATAATAAATTTAATAGATCAATTGCACTATCTAATAATTATAAATCAGGATTGCTATTATTTCCAATTAAACTTGTAGTAATAATTTCAAGAAGAGCATCAAGATTATGTTTAAAGAATTATTGTCTAACTATTTTTTATTTTGAATCAAGTATCTTAAATTCTCCTATTCGATCTTATGGTTATAATCTTCTTAATACTGTATCAATGATAATTAGATATACTTATTTATTCATTACTTAAGCTTATTCTTTAAAATATTAAACAGGTATTTAATCATAAAAGTGTAATACTATATTGGCAATAATGGATGCAAAAAAATGATAGACTGGACGTGAATGAGTTGTAAATCTTTTGATTCTATTCCATGCAAATTCAAATATCTTACCAAATTCTGGTGTATTTTGATGATTTTAATCTATATAAGTGGATACTAAGCTTCCTACAATTTGTAATGTAATTTCATTATCACTTTAATCTGCCAATTAACATAATAGTATGAGATTGTCTTGATTCATATTTTTGTGTAATTGATCTGGATCTATTTGATATGTTTCATAGAGTTATCTTTCAAAGTTCATGTTAATTTTAATTCAATAATTAAAACATGACATTTCTGTACCTTCAAGGAAAACTATTTTAGGGTTTTTTAATAAATTAATTAATCTAATTAATCTAATTAACAATACAATAATCTTAAATACATAATCAATATGATAATGAAGATAGAATAACATAATAATCAATAATACTATTTATATAAATAATTTTAACATTTCTCTATCATAATTTCTTATTTAAATAAATATATATATATATTATATATACAAAATATTAAAATAGCAAAATATGTTAGGAGGAAATTTAGAAATACTTATCAATTTTAATTCATTTCGAAATATTGATCTATTTGATTAAGGATATTATGCATTAAAAGTAGAAATGAGTTCAGAAAATGCAGAAGTTGTATAACCTTATCTTGTATTATCACAATCTGGAGATAAATATGAAGAGTCTATTTAAGATTCATAGTTTTGTTCAAAAGTATTTGATATTTAGTATTCTGAATAATACATTCAATTAGATAATGCTTGTTTATTTAGAATACTTTATTAAGCTCATCCAAATAAAAATACAGCAATCAAAGTTAATGTAGGTTTATTATATAGTTAAACATTGGAAGGTGATACTCCAATTTTATCAATGTAATAAGTTAGTAATTTTGAATGTATAATTAATAATGCATGTGAGGGAGTATAATAAGGAGTGGATGTTATTTTTGATAATAATCATCTATGTACAACTAGGATGTACATATATACAATGATATTGGATTATAGATACACAGGAGGAGTAAATGGATTTTAGGAGTTTTTGAAGATTAAAACAAATGATTGTAATACACTATATCTAAAATTTTAGTTGATTAAGAAGAAGTCAATCGATTTATAGGTGAATATGTAGATTCTCTTGGTTCCATATAAACAAAGTATCGTAATTTATTAATATAAATTATAAATGAATTGAAAGANTATATTGGCAATAATGGATGCAAAAAAATGATAGACTGGACGTGAATGAGTTGTAAATCTTTTGATTCTATTCCATGCAAATTCAAATATCTTACCAAATTCTGGTGTATTTTGATGATTTTAATCTATATAAGTGGATACTAAGCTTCCTACAATTTGTAATGTAATTTCATTATCACTTTAATCTGCCAATTAACATAATAGTATGAGATTGTCTTGATTCATATTTTTGTGTAATTGATCTGGATCTATTTGATATGTTTCATAGAGTTATCTTTCAAAGTTCATGTTAATTTTAATTCAATAATTAAAACATGACATTTCTGTACCTTCAAGGAAAACTATTTTAGGGTTTTTTAATAAATTAATTAATCTAATTAATCTAATTAACAATACAATAATCTTAAATACATAATCAATATGATAATGAAGATAGAATAACATAATAATCAATAATACTATTTATATAAATAATTTTAACATTTCTCTATCATAATTTCTTATTTAAATAAATATATATATATATTATATATACAAAATATTAAAATAGCAAAATATGTTAGGAGGAAATTTAGAAATACTTATCAATTTTAATTCATTTCGAAATATTGATCTATTTGATTAAGGATATTATGCATTAAAAGTAGAAATGAGTTCAGAAAATGCAGAAGTTGTATAACCTTATCTTGTATTATCACAATCTGGAGATAAATATGAAGAGTCTATTTAAGATTCATAGTTTTGTTCAAAAGTATTTGATATTTAGTATTCTGAATAATACATTCAATTAGATAATGCTTGTTTATTTAGAATACTTTATTAAGCTCATCCAAATAAAAATACAGCAATCAAAGTTAATGTAGGTTTATTATATAGTTAAACATTGGAAGGTGATACTCCAATTTTATCAATGTAATAAGTTAGTAATTTTGAATGTATAATTAATAATGCATGTGAGGGAGTATAATAAGGAGTGGATGTTATTTTTGATAATAATCATCTATGTACAACTAGGATGTACATATATACAATGATATTGGATTATAGATACACAGGAGGAGTAAATGGATTTTAGGAGTTTTTGAAGATTAAAACAAATGATTGTAATACACTATATCTAAAATTTTAGTTGATTAAGAAGAAGTCAATCGATTTATAGGTGAATATGTAGATTCTCTTGGTTCCATATAAACAAAGTATCGTAATTTATTAATATAAATTATAAATGAATTGAAAGATAAGAATATTTAAATGTAAAATTTAATGAGGATTCCAATTGTTTAGACAGCTAAATTCAAAGCTAATTTATAGACAAAAAGTTTAGGAGAAGATTGTTTAATGATAATCAATTAATTAGGATAATCATTATTTTAATTATGGAATTAATTTTAATAAGTGCTTAAATATTCAAGGAATTATCTATTAGAATGTGTAGATTAAAGATTGTTATAAAATTGTAAGAAACTTTCATCAGAATCAGTCATTTCGAATTAGGCTACTTTTGAAGAAATTTAAACATAAATATCATTACCATTACTTAAATAAAGAGAAGAGATTTGGAATCAGGCAAGAAAAAGTTCAAAAAATTAAATACCAAATATTTAATTATTAGATTAATTCTACACATTACCTATTACTTTACCTTTCTTTTTTGAAGATGTAGTTTCATAATAATAAATTATAACTTAATTTTAATAAAATTAATAAAATAGAAAACATGTTCTTGTATTAGTTCATGGATATTAAGGTACTTCAGCTGATTTATAAACTTGGAAAAGTTATTTAAAAATTAAATTCCCAAATCATTTAATAATTTAATCAGAAATTAATTAAGATGATACAGAAGATAGTATTACTGTGATGGCTTAAAGATTGGCTTAAGAAATATAGAAATAAATTAGTGATAGAACTCATTAAAAATAATAAATTTCAATATCATTTATTGGTCATTCTTTAGGAGGAGTCTTGATAAGATGTGCACTATAACATTTAATTAAATATTAAGAATGTATGCATACATTTATTAGTTTGGGTTCTCCTCATGTTGGATTAGGAATCTAATAATCTACATTAATTGATGCAGGATTATGGTTTATGAAAGCATTTAAAAAAGAAGATTAAAGAATATGTTTAAATCAAATGACTTTATGTGATGAAAAAGATATTTCAAAGACCTTTTTCTATAAATTATCCTAGAATTCTAAATTTGGATGGTTTAAGAATGTGATTTTAGCATTTTCACTCCAAGATAGTTATGTTCCATTCTCATCAGCTAGTTTAACTCGAATCAAAGAATAAGGGTAAAAAATTTCTATTTCTATTTCATAGTGAAAGAGCAAATGCTCATAACCAAATGGTAGATTAATTGTTTCAGTAAATACCATAAACTTTAATTAAAACTTCTGTATTCTTTCCCAATATGAAAACTAATCTTGACAAAATGATTGGTCGTGCAGCTCATATTGAATTTATCGACAACAGCAGCTTTGTTAGACTGTTTATTGATTATTATTATGAATATTTATTATGATTAGAAAAGAAGAAGCATTATTATTTTTTTCATTGAATTAAATCACATTTATAATTCCATTCAAAATCTATTAGAAAAGGAGACATAAATTTGGTCAATATATAATTGAACACTATAATTATTAAAATTAATTAATGAGTTAGTCTCCCATTGTCTTTACTAACAAACCCTCTAAGCCATATCCTTTAGATGATAGTGTTTGGAGATGGGGATCAGTTTTGCCAAAACTACACCAAAAAGATCTATCACCTTAAATCAAAAGTGAACCACACTACTTCAAAAATAATTAGCTTGAAGATAGTTAAACCATCAATAATTATACTGTCAGATCTGTAGTATTACCTGAAGTAAGTATTTATTATGACATTATAAGGAACCTGAATATATAGAAGTGGACTGGAATGCATTCCAACTTATCTCTTTTGATTGATTCCAGCATATTTATGAGTAAATAATGACAAATATACATATATTTTAAAAGGATAATGTCTATTTTCCCTTATTTGATTTTAATCTAATACAAATGTTTAGTTACTTACAACCAAACTCATTTGTTTTTGGATCTATCCTATCTTTAATCATCAATTACAAATTACCATAATTAACTCAACCTTATATTTAATTTAAATTTCTCATATAATCCTTCTAAAATCCCAAAATTATAATAGTAATATCTCTATCAAATACCTATAGACTATAAGTATATATTGTTAAAAGTTATTTAGATCTTTAAATTTAATTCTTTTTTCTTTTAAATTCAACTCTCACATATTCAAATTAAGAACCATTATATTTAAATGCATATATAAAAATATTATCATTTTCTCTATAAATAACTATAAACTTATTGAGGGTCATTAATGATTAATATAACAGTAATTTATTAATAAAACTTACTTATAATTATTTATATATACAATATCATATGTAATTTATAATTAATTTTATGTATTGAATTATAAAATAATGTTAATGATAGGATTCTATATTTAAAGATATTTTTATTTATATCTGGATTAATCAAATACTTTTAACAGATGTCAAAGAATATTAACTTATAGTTTATTGTTTACAATGACTCTAGTAAGAGTTTAAAAGGTTGATCCTAATTAAGATACTTTTTGAAAGCTTTGAAAAAATTGAGCTTCAATTTAGGTGATAGAGCATAAAGAATTCTGAATCTTTCTGGTAGATTAAGTTTAGATCTACCATTCAGTTTTATTTATTAAATGAATTTCTTTTTGTTTATGGAAATTGAATAAATAATTTAAGGCTTAATTCTTATTGTGAGATATTATAAGATTTTATTTTTATGATTGACGATAATTAATTAATTAATCATTTAAGGATAAAAATATATTAATTCTCATATTTTATGAAGGGTATAAAATAGAAATGTTATTATTTAAAAAAATACCAGGATTTTGGTTATTAAATGGGATTTGAATATGAAAGTATGTTAGAATTAAATGAATACTAAATTAGAGACTATACCTGTACTTTAGGAGAAATGTAAATTTCATTAAAATGAATAAGCTAATTTAATTTGTCTTACAGCATCATGTTTAAATTAAGGATTTTTCTGTTTTTAATGTAAGAATCATCATGAAGGTCATAATGTAATATAGGGAATAGAATTCTTTGACTCATTAAAATAATTAGTATAATATGATGGTTCATAGAAATCATCAAATAATGTGAATTAAGTGTCAGCGAGAATAGTAACAGCTATGCTGACAACAATTGATGAATTAGAAGCATTAAATTAATACTTTTCTGAAACACTTGGATAGATTAGATTATAATTTGAGAAATATTGTCAAATATCAAATGATGTGAATGTGATAAATAATTTTTTGATTTTCTCTTAAAAAGAAACAATAGAACCTTAATAATTCAAGGATAAATTTGAAGAATGTTTAAAAAGACTCTGTCTTAAATTATAAAAATTACACATAAAATCTACAGTAACATGTTAATCTAATTCATTATTTTTACCAGATGAGAGATTATTTTAAGAATATTTGGAACCTCTAATATCAACATTAAAAGGAATAAAATTATAGGCTGAATCTAGTTTTACTAAACCACTTTATTATAATAAATTAGATTTGAATTTTAAAAATGGATTAATGCCTATAGTCAATTCATTTTTTGAACCTGTTATATTTGAGACAGATTAACCAAAGGAGGAAGATAAAGTGTTGGAGAGGTTATGGATAGATAAGAATGAAACAATGAGGAAAATGTTGATGATGAAATAGCGTACAAAGGAAGAATAAGTAATTGAAGATGAACCATATTCATATGGTAATGGAAGATTGGAAAAAGTATTTGCTGTAGCTGGATCTAAAGTTTGGTTTTTAGATTTCATTTATAGTAAATTTAAACCAACTTCTAAACATTCAAAAATTGAACCCAAATAGGCATGTATAATATGTAAATGTCATCAGAAATTTGCTAGAATTAATGAATTTTTGAATTGTAAATATGGGGATCTATATGGACCATATCATTTAGAGGCTAGATTATTGGATAATTTCAAGATGGCTTTTGATAAGAGAACTAATAAGGAGTACTTGATTGATAGAGGAGGTCTTTATTTTCATGATCTTTGTGTATATTGGTCATCATTGGTTGAATATGATGAGAAGAAAGGAACTATAGATTTTGAATCTTTATAAGAAGCAGTTAAAATATCATAAGAAACATATTGTTATTTATGTAAAAGGAAAGGACCTACATTGAAATGTAATAATGAAAATTGTTAGATTTGGATACATTATTATTGTTGGAAGGAATTAGAACCATCTTAATAATACTTGGATAATTAGAAATTTAGAATGTTATGTTATTAACATGTACCAGCTAAATATCGTAAACCATTATGGGCTTCTTAGAATTTATTATTAGATGATTAATAATTGGAGAAAAAGGAATTTAAGGAATTTAGATAAAGTTAATTTGTTAAATTTACATATTAAGAAGCAGGATAATCAAGATATATATAGAAATTAGAATAATAGGCTACAAAATAATAATTTGAGGAATGATTTATATTTAATTAGTATTAATTATCATACTTCATTTGCATTTGCATGAATTTTTGTTGTTATAATTCTATTTTCTGAATTGAGAAAATCTCCTTCTATATTTAAACCCAAATGAAATAAAGCTTTTGGATAAAAATAAGTAAGAACAAATCCTCCAAAGAAACATATTGGAATAGTTTAGAAAAATATTACTGCTGATAAATGTTCAGTAACTATAAAAAATACGAATGGTTCTACTATCAATAGTAATACTAACAAAAGTACAACTCTATATAATTTTAATTTCCATTTTAATTTTGCAAAGTTCTAACTAAACTTACTTTCATCATATGTGCCTCCACATAATTTAGTACCTAATAGAATAAAGAATATGAAAAGTATTTAAAAACTATTATTGAAACAATTATTTTAAAGTACAGATGCACTCTTAAATTTATAAGGATTTATTTATGATGTACATTTTCTTAACATAGCATCTAACCATAATTAAATTTCTGCATTATTGATTAGAATTTCATTACTATTCAATCTATAAAAAAGATAAGAAATCATGCTCCAAATAAATGTTACTAATATTGAAATATATATAACTCTTCTTCCTATTCCAGGTCCTCCTGTTACTAAACATGTTTTAAAATAGTTTAATAATCTTTCATGAATATAAGTCATATAATTAATCATAATATAACCTGAATAAATCCAACCCAATAAAACTTAACCATAAGTATGTGCACCAAAAAATATTCTTGAAAATCCAGTTATCAATGTCCAAATGATAATTATTGTTATTATTATTACTCTAAGTAATTTTGGATATTTTAAACTAATTTAGATTTATAAAGTACTTTTCTTAATCTCGCCAAATTGCTGGAAATAGTATACATGGTAACAAAAAACACATTAATGAAGATTACATAGCATGACCAGATGGTTTACCAAATTCTTTATTACATTAAAGTCCTTTTATGTCTTCTTCAGTCCAAAATGGTCTAGGCTAATGATATATGTTTTTGAGTAGAGAATTAAATGAAATAATGAACATAATCATGCAACCATATAATATAGCCCCTAATTTATTTTCTTTGAACATGAATACAAGTAAGGCAATACCTGGAAAAATGTTCAGCCAATTAGAAAAAAATGTCATTATTTCTTATTCTCCTTTAAATTCCTTATTCTATAAGTAAATTGTCAATTTGGTATTAGATTCCCACATTAATTCATTAAGAATAATGTCAAGTATTATATAAATACCTAAAAATAGAGTAGAAAGTATAAAAGTTCGCATTTTATTAAAATTACTGGGTGTATTTATAAAAAAGGTTATATTTATATATATATATATTAATATCAAGAACTCTTGGCTTACAATTCAAAAGACATTCTATTAAGTAGCAAATTAGAATACCCATCTGGAGCAGATTATTCATAATATATTATTTATAAGAAATCACCAGGCACAGAAATCTTTAAATAATATAATATTTTAGAGTACACAACAGTTATAATTAATCCCCCTAATATTGACACTGGAATAATCTAAATTATAAATTCCATTACTTAACCAAATGCTTATGCATATACTGAATTAAATTCAATCAAGAAAAAAGGAATCAATAGAGCAATCAAGATAATCAATATAAATATTCTTAATGTTTTCTACCATAAATATAGTGATTTATAATGATATCTGAATTGATTCTCTAAATATATTCCTTTACTAAGTTTTATTCCAATTACAAAGCTCACCATAATCCAAATATACAAACTCATACTAAAGCATATATTTTATAAAACTAAAGGACTATCAATTGTGTATAATGTTGTTTAATTCTCACACTTTTCATAGACTGCAGTCATCCATAACGTAGCTTCTGCTGGACTTATGAATACATATCTATTTAATTCTAGAAATATAATAGCAACACAGGTCCAACTGAATGCAATCAAACCAATAATTTATATTACTCTAATTGAAATACCTTTATGTCCCATTTACAAACATTCTGTTAAATAAGTCATGATTTTATCATGTATATAAATCATATAAATTATAGAAATATATGCTTGATAAACCCAACCTAGAATAATTTAACCAAATGAATGAACTCCCATAAATACTCTTGAAAATCCAGTCATAAAGGTCCAAAAAGTAATAATAAATATAACTATTACCCTAATATATAATGGATACTTGTAACTATGGTTATTAATTTTATTACTTCGGTTGATCTTTCCAAATTGCTGGAAATAATATACATGGTAATAGGAAACACATTGCTGATGAAGACATAGCATGACCTGAAGGTTTTCCAAATTCTTTATTGCATTCATAAGGCTCTATCTCTTAAACTATAAAATATGGTCTTGCTTAATGATATAGATTTTTCAAAAAAGAATTTGAAGCTGCTGAAAATAAAATCATCCAACCATATAATAATGCTCCTAATTTATTATCCAATACTAAAAAAGCTATTCCTGCTATGCTTGGAAGTAAAAAGAGAGAATATGAGAAAACTAAGAACATGTCTTTTTCGCCAGGAAATTAGTTTTATTGCAAATATAATGTCAAACTAGTGTTTGCATCCCACATTTCCTAATTGAATATAAGATCAATTGCAATGTATAAAAACAATGCAATTGTTGCAATAATAAATAATTTCATAAATTTATTATTATTATATATAATAATGTTTTCATTTAGAGATGGAAATAAATTTGAAATAATTTTATAATAAAATATAATAATTGTAATTTAGAATATACAATTGCTATTAGTAATATCTTTAATGTGTTAGTAATAATATTTATCATAAAATTAATGAGAAACTTTAATCATGTATCATTGTATGCTTTCACAGCGAGAGCTATTCATAGTCAAGTGGCTATCATAGGAGGTGGAACTGCAGGATTGAATGTTTCTGCATAATTAGTGAGAGATGGTCACTATATCCCATAACAGATTCGTGTGTTTGAACCATATAAGATGCATGCCTATCAAACAGGATGGACTTTGGTTGGTAGATAATGATTATCTAATCAAGGTGGTGGTATGTGTAAAGCTGATTAAACAATGAAGCCTATGGAAAAGGTTCTACCTAAAAATGTTTGTCTGAGTGATTGTCCAGTTGTGAAAATTGATCCAGAATAGAATACAATAGTGACAATGGATGGATAGAAATACACATATGATTAATTGATAGTGGCAAGTGGAGTGCAACGTGATTATGCATCCATTAAAGGTATAAATTTATACATTATTTAGGTGCTTTGGAGTATTTGAATAATCCAGAAGCACCAGTAGGAAGTATATACTATTATAGATATGCTCAGAAGATTGATAAAATGATTAAAGAATTTGAAGGGGGAAAACTAATATTTTCAGAACCACCTACAAAATGTGAGGGAATTCCATCAAATATTGTGTTCTTAACTCATGAAAGATTATCAGCCAGAGGAGTCAAATGTGACTTCCATGTATACAAAGCCAATGATTCTATATTTGGCATACCAAAATATTCATAAATACTTGGAGAATTGGCACATGAGAAAGGATTACATTGTCATCTAAAAAAAAGATTAATTGAAGTTCAAGATCATAAAGTCATCTTTGAGGATGTTGAAACTAAACAATAATATACATCCGATTATGATTTCTTACATATTGTGCCACCTTAAGTAATATATGCATTTAATATCTTATTAAGAAACCAGCTGCATTCATTGCTGAAAGTGGATTGGGTGATTCAGATGGATATGTTAATGTTCATCCTAATACACTTTAACATGTACGTTATGCAAATGTCTGGGCCTTAGGAGATTGTTCTTCACTTCCAACATCCAAAACTGCTGCTGCTGTGATGGCTTAGACTCCTGTTCTTATTAAAAATTTGATCAGAACTTGGAAGTTGAAATAGCCACCTCTACCAGATTATGAAGGTATTAAAATTTAAGATGGTGTCAAGGTTATACCTCTTGTCCTGTTTATACATCAAATAAGAAAGTGTTGCTTGCCGAATTTAAGTACAACAAATAATTAGATGAAACATTCCCAGTCTTTTAATCATCTGATAGTAAAGTCATGTACTTGATGAAGAAACATTTCTTCCCATTTGCTTATTGGCAATTGATGGTTAGAGGTCTTTGGGGAGGTAGAGATGGAATAAGATTATTCAAAGGAGTCTGAAAAATATCCTCATATACAATATATATAATATTAAAATAATTACATAGTCTTTTATCAAGAGTTAGTATAGGTATAAAACAATAAGCTCATAAATTTAATTCATAATATAATATATATTTAAATAAATATTTAATTTATGAAATAATAAAACTTTATTAAACCTTTCCCTGCTTTTAATACCTTTATAAATGTTTTAATGGCTTCTGGACCTATCTTATTGCCAATGAGCTCTGCAAAAGTGGGTTATGGTTATGCCTCCATATCGCTTACAATTTGTTGTCTCATTAGTATAATAGCATGCGATTTCATTGTGGAGGTAGCTGAATAATCTGTATTTAGACTAGGCTCTCTATTTAGCTGATCAAATTGATAAAGAGACTGATTTGATGAGTAGATTGAATATTTAGGCAACTCATACCGTTTCTGATTCGACAGAAGAAATATCGTCATCTTAACCAATGGAATCGAAATATGCTTTGTAAAGTCAATTTGAATATGGATCTATGGCTAAATTGTTTTATGGAAAATGGGCTGAATACTTTACAGTATCAATTATTGTGATCTATTTATATGGAGCAGTAGTAGCAAAAGGAGTGATGGTTGGAAATTCCTTATCGTAATCATCTATATATTAATATTCACAATAGTTCAGTTTTTAAAGGTATCACCCTTGTTGAATAATATTGGTTTTGGATAGTCACATTTTTTGTACTTTGTGGAATACTTTCGTTCAAAGATGTTGCTAGCATTTAAATAGTCTAAACAATTGTTGCCTTAGCTCGTTATTTAACAATTCTTTCCATGCTTATAGGATCTATCCAATAAATGAGTACTTAAAAAGAAATTTAAGAGATGTAATGGTTCAATATTGATGCATTACCATAAATGATTTCAACTGCAATTTTTGCATTTTTGATGCATCATTCATCACCTGGTATGTTAAGACCAGTTAGACCAACTTCAGCTATTAGAAAGATAATCTTTATCAGCTTTATATTTGGTTTATTCACTTTTCTATTTGTATGTTTGACTGCCATATTGGCATTTCCATTAAAAGATCTTGCAGCAGCCAGCTTTTATAATTAACTATTTAATTAAGGTAGTTTGAAATGGGCTTATTATATTATAAGCTTTTATATGTTTTTAAATATAGCAGCATTACCTGTATTAACTATTACAATTAGAAAAAATCTAATGAAATTAGTTGTTCCTCATTTAGTTCCTAAAGATAATCTAAAAATTACTTTACCAAGTGCTATATTCACTTTACTTATTGTTGTACCTTGTGCATTACTTGCCATTGGTAACTCACTTTAATATAAACTAAGTGCTTAAAGATGACATTGAAATTATAGTTGGTCTAACAGGAGGAGTATGTGGAGTATTCATTTTATTGACCATTCCAGCTGCTTTAGTATTACAAGGTCGTAAAAAACATAATGTCAAATACTCAGATAATCCATACATTTCCAAATTCTAACATCCTTTCTGGATTTGGGCATTGATTGTACTTGGTTGTGTGTTTGTGCCATACAATCTCTACATGCAAATTAAAAAGATCATTGATCATTATGGTTGATCACATTATTTGTCCCATAAATATATTAAGATATATATTATGATATTTTACATAAAATTATAATAATACTCAATATTTTAAAGCTTGATTCAATTGATTTTAAGTTTCCTTATAAAGTTATTCGAAGTTTACTTATTCCAATATTAATAACATTGCTATTCCTCTCAGATTATGAGCTAAGAATCCCCCATAACCCCAACTAAAATTCCATTCTTTCATATTAAATTTCAATTTCTCCCATAAATTCTATTTTTTTGATGCTTCTTATTAAAACAAAATTGATTTCACCTATAAACGACGTCTCACACTATCAATTGGATATATTAATGCATATGATCCCAAATATGCTAATTATTAATTATAAGGTGTAATTCCCTCTAAAAGTTAATTCAATCCCACTATACCATAAGCAAATAACAATGTCTATACACATCCAACTGTAAATCCTGAATATAATCCCTTAAAAAATCCACTTTCTATTTTAATATTAAATCTAGTCTCTTCAAAACCTACATACATTCTTTTCTATCCAGGAATTTAAATTTCAGTTGCTTATCTTACTCTTATTGTATCAAAAGGATATGAGAATATAGAAGTAGTAATACCACAAAGTGTTGCACTAAGTCCCATTGATAAAAGCTTGAAATTCAATTTATTTATATACATCTTTGTCATAAGTGACTTATTTGATATTTTGATAGAAAACATATTATGCATATACTTAAGGTAACCACATGTAAATTGCTGTTAAATTTGATCTAAATAATCCTTTTGGTCCCTCATTTGAAATTGTTTTCTTAAGAAATTAATAAAAATTAGTCATCTTCTCTTTGGAACTTAAAGTAAGAATATCTTAGGTCTGTCTTATTAATTTATATCTTTCTAATGGAGCTAAGAGTGTTTTTATTATGGATGTACTAACAAACCCTTGAATATATTCCTCCATAAATAAAATGCAATATTAATAATTTTATTAATTTACTCATTTAACAATCTTAACTTAATCTTTATGAAATTTGCAATACAATTTATTTTTAAAAACTAAGAATATCCATACTTCTATTTAAGAATATAATTCTATTTTATTATTATTTCGATAAGTATTAATAGTCAATATATTTATTAATTATGCTAAAAAATACTTAACAAAAAAAATTACCATTGTAGAAATATCTAAGTAGATTTCGTATATGCACTCTTATCCTTCTCCTGAATATATTCATAATTGCATTAATAGTCCCACTAATTCTGGGAGTTTACCAAATCAACACAAATCTAGTCTATCATTATTTTGAAGAATCTGCAATGATGGCATTCATAAATCAGAATAATAGAAGTTTAAATTCTATTATGAATTCTTAAGTGGCTTAATTAAAGAGTATGATGAATAGAAGTTTATTTATTGTTTATAATTTAGCTGAGAGAACGTTGAATAGCTTATAAAAAATGTATCTTCTTGGTTAACATTATAATTTTACTATAAATCAAAATCCAGATATTTGTCATGCTTAATTTGAAGATGAAGATTAATTCGAATATAACTATGAAGGCTATTGTGTCAATATATATGATATAGAATTCAAAGAATATAAGAATTTACCTGAATATGAATACTTTTAGAGGGATTATAAATTTGTATCCCTTTTGAATGAATGCATAATGTAGTTAGATCCTACTCAATTATTTTTACCAGATAATATTTATTTTAGTAAGATTGACAGAGAATTTACAGCTTGGTGGCCTTAATGGAATAGAATATAGGATTATCATCCTTCTTAAAGAACATGGTATATCTAACATTTAGAGAATTATGAATTAAATCCTAATCAAAGTTGTTTCTAATCTGATATGTATCAATTTTTTGCTGAATATCCTGTAATGGCAATAACTACTACTTGTAGTTTAAAAGATGAAAATCATAAATTAATAGCTATATTGGCTTCAGATTAATAATTACTTGGTAAATATTACAAACATCCAAGATTAAATGTGATGATTGTAAATGTAGATGGATTATTAGTAATTAGTACAATGGAAAATCAATTAATAGCAAATTCAACTGAACTTGGGTATTTTTATGAATAAAATGTAACTGGTTTCAATAAAGAAGATTGGTATTAAATAGTTAACTTTGTCTAAAATAATTCTTTTTAATCAAATTGTCAATATTTTTCAAATCTTAATGATATATTGTGTCGTCATAATTCATTATTGAAATAGGATGTTTTCTTCTAAGTATAAAACTTAACAAAACCAAATTTTATATTCATATTGTAAATTATTATTTTATAATTTTGTTAGATTCTTTAATTTGACTGATGAAATTTAATAATTGATTGATTAATAAGAAATTATATAAGAAATAAATAGAGAGTAATATTTTAATATCCTAATATTGATATCAATAGCTTTAACTATTGTAATGATTCAATTAATCTGTGTTTAAATAATCTTCCTTCCACTAAATGATTTAATTAAGCATTCTAGAGCTTATCTTAGATCTAACTCTCATAGACTTCTTTTCAGATAAAAAGAATTCTACTTATATAATTTTTATATTGATGGCTATTCAAGCAGTATTTATATTATTAATTTTAGATAATATTTTATTAGGTTTAAAGTTGGCATATAAATAAATCTATCATAGAATAAGTAAATAAAATTTTAAGAAATGTGATTAATGTTAGATTATATAGAAATTTTAGTATCCATTAAATAAAATAAAATCAAAATGTCATTTAAATAAATAAATGGATTTTGAATACTCTATTAAATTAACAGATTATCAAATAAGAAAATAAATAGTTTAGCCTTGTTTAATCAAGTCTTTTGATTATTGAAAATAAATCTATTACTATTAATATTGAATATAAAAATTTTAAGATTTATATATATTAGAATAATCTATAAAAAATAAGTAAATTCTTAAGATTAAAAGAACATATAAAGAATAAATTAAATCATTTTATGTTTTTTTAGATCTGCTTAATTTATTTATATAGATTAGTATATATCTCCAGATTCTCTTAATGTAATTAATCTATGTTCTCAACTATATTCTAAATATTTTCATTAGGATTAGTATGTCTTAAATTACTTGAGACAGTAGGTTATGCGACTCTTTGTACAATTTTCTTATCTTTTTCAGACAGTTGAAATTTTAATGAGAATGTATCAGTTTCTTAAAATTATAATTTGAGTGATTCCATAAATACTCTATCTCTAATTTTCTTTTCTTCAATACGATTAAGAATGAAACGATCAGCTTCATTTAATTCTTTACCTAATTTACGAACAATTAAGTTATCTCTTGTCATTTAAATAGCATCCATTAAACGATTGACATTACGATCACTCCATAGATCTACTACTCCCATTGAACCATCATTTGCAGCATCACCAAATACATCTCTAACTTTTTTAATTAAAGGTTGTAAATAGTAATTATTTTTCTTTTCATGAGTTCTAAATCCAAATTTAAGAAAAGTCAATCTTTTATTCTTAGATTATTTATTAGCCACACCAAATGTTTAATCACGTTTTACTTAAATTTCTGTTTTAGGAATTTCACGCATTTATTTGTATGTTAAGAGACCTCTCAAATGCCCTAAAGCAAAACTAGACTTTACATTTTCTTTAAGAATATCAATATTAGGTAAGAGAGAAGGTTCACTCTTTTATTTTGGTTTGTGTTGTTATGAAGATCTAGATAATTATTTCATTTTAAATATATTAGAAATGAATTTAAGCATCTCTATATTGTTAGGATAATTAATGTTAAGGAACATAATTAATATCATATAAGAGGGTTAATTAGAGTCTAAAGATATAATAACAATGACATTAAATTCATGTGCAGCTATTTTTATTTTGATAAGCTACTTTGTGAATTACCATCTTACAAATCAAAGACTTTTTTTATTAATGATCATATAGATCATAGTAGTATTGCATTTTGAAATTTCATTTTATGAAAATCATGAATATTCATCCTTTAGCACAATCGTATACCTCATTTCACTCTAATAATATCTCTATAAATAAAAAGATTGTTTTCATTATTTAAGTCATAGTGTATTGATTTATGCTGTTACAAGATCCTTGGTACAAAAATTTAATGATATTGCAATTTGGGAGTTTATTCTTATTTTATTATGGCAACCATTCAATCATTATTTATTACATTTGCTAAGACGAAAGAAATATCAAAAAAAGGAAGAGTTAAATTCATAAGTCTAATTCCATACTCTATCAACACCATAAGCATAACATACAGAAAGACCAGAAGAGTAGCCTACTACTAAAGTCAATCTTGCAGAAGATTTTTTTGATTGTATTCCAGAGGGATTAGTTATTTTAGATGAATTTTATAAGATCATTAGACATAATTCAAAAATCTTACATTATTTGAATATAACAGATTCATTTTTAATTCCATAAGCTTTAGATGGATTATTTAAAATGTAAATGTTTTAATTTAATTTAGTGCTTAAAAAAATAGAAGTCCTTAAAAAGAGAAAAAGAAACCAATTCCATTAAAATAAATTAAATAAAGAATGGATGTATAGTCTTATTATACTAGTTCTTTAGCAACTTCATTAAAAAAATAATTTTGGATGTCTGATAAAGAATAACATAATTTTGGTTTGCAAAAAGGAGATTCCATTACTTATCCTTTTCTATAATCTATTCTTAATGATTTTAAGTTATAAAATTTGAATGAGAATATGACAATAACTTCTGAATGTAGTAGTATAGTAAAATACTAAATATTACAAGAAACATAAATTAAATAAAGACATCTTTAAATTAAAATATATGATATTAAAATGACATCATATTAAAATACTCCTTTATTTTTATTTATTGTTGAAAATATCACAAATAAGGAATAACTTAAATTATTAACAAATAGATTTAAATTTTAATAAGCATTATTAAATTCATTTAGTCATGAATTAAGAACTCCTCTTAATTGTACTTTAACTTTATTATAAGCACTCAAAAATAAATTGAAAAATGATGATATTAATAATGAATATTTAAATCCTTCTATAGTATCAAGTTAACGATTACTATATTAAATAAATGATATTCTTGATTATGCTCAATTAGAATGTCAAGATTTTTAAATAAATATTACTGAATTTAGAGTTGGTGAAGTATTTTAAACCTTAAAAGATTTTTTTGAATAAGAATGTAAATAGAAATAAATTGAATTAATTATTGAAAATGATTGTTTAATATCTATAAGAAGTGATAAAGATAGAATTACTTAGGTTTTAATAAATTTAATTAATAATTCTATTAAATTCACATCTTAAGGAGGTAGAATAGTAATCAATTTAAAAAAGAGAGATAATATGTATTAATTTACTGTATGGGATAATGGTAAAGGGATCTCTAATATTACTTTAGCTAATATTTTTGAATCATAAAAAAATATGAATGCTAGTATAAAATTTGCAGAAACTACATCAAATTCAAATAAATTAGGACTAGGATTAAAAGTTAGTAGAGGTATTGTAAGATATCTATGTTAAAATGGAGATTTAGTAATTAAAAGTTAAAAGGATAATTATACATCAATTAATTTTTTTGTTGAAGATTAAATTATAAAAGTAAATGAAGATATTACTGAATAAGAATCAATAATGAGATTTGGAAGTAAACATACTGTTTAAAAATGTGAATGTCCATAAGTATTGATTGTAGATGATATACCATTTAATCATATTGCAATGATTGCCATATTGACTAATTTTGGAATAAAATCAGAAAGTGCTTATGATGGAACATAAGCAATAGAAAAAGTTATTCTTAGATTAAAAAATAAGGAATGTTGTAAAACATATAGAATAATATTTATGGATATTGAAATGCCTGGCAAAAATGGATTTTAAACATCAGCAGAAGTAACAATTATGTGATTCATAGATAGTAGAAATTTTGAAGTAATCAAATTGCCAATCAGTCATAGTAATGTGTTCTGCATATACAGGAGAAGCAAATGTTGAATAGGCTAGACAATGTGGAATGAAAGAAATAATTCCTAAACCAATTGCTTACAATAACCTATAACTATTAATATCGAAATATTTTTAATCATTATCTTGAATTTTACTAATATTTATTTTTAGTAATAAGATTATATATCAAATATCTTAATTTTCATCTTAATCTGCTTGACTAGTACTTTCTTAATTTTTACCTATATCATTAGTCTCCTTTTAACTAGATCTTTCATTTATCTCACTCCCTTTACTATTCTCATCTTATTCCACTTAACTATTATTATTATTACAAATATCCTGTGCTTTTGAATCTTTATATTCATTTTCATGAATTTATTCATCAAAATTATTTAAATCATCTTAAACTATCTAAATATTTTATTTATTCTTCTTCTAATCTGATTATTATTCTTCTGTAGGCATCTCTATATCTTCTTATATTGTTTCTTATTTCTTTGCTCTGCTATACATCATAAATCTTCTTTCTCTTTAACTAATAAACCCTTAAGATGTTCTCTATTGATTATCAGTACTATTTGATCTAGAATTCCTTTGACTTCTAAGTTATCTCTATTGATTTATTCTTTATAATTCATGTAAAGCTTATTATTCGAGATGTTTGGCACTCTTAATATCTATTTTCAATTGTAAAGGAGGCATCAATTTCCTAGCTGGATCAAATAATTTATGTAACATATAAAAAGACATAGTTTTCTTTTCAATTATTTAAACCTTAAAATATATTTAAAAACTCTACTTCTCTAAAGAATTCATATATTTCTATATTGGAAGCCCTAGAGTTTGTATCTAATAGTGCTGATAATGAATTAATTAATTATCTTTGAAATTGTCTTAATTCACAGTAAAGATTGCAAGCTAATTTTTTGAGAAGAAAGTCATGTGGAAAATTAGATAATGCAGTTTTTAATTAAGGAACAAGTGATAATCCATGATTTACTAAATTTTCTAATTTAAAACATTCAACAACCAAACTTCTATAAATTATTCACTTATACTTAGTTTATTATATTTATTTTCGAGGATGATTATTTCGATATGCCTTTATTTCTTATACATTTAATGCTAACTTCTAAAGATATTATAGAAATGGAATTTATAGATTATCAAGTAACCAAACTTCATTTGTTATTTACTTGAAAACAAAGGTTTCTGGTTTAGATGTAGGTCTACTTTACTATCTATATTACTTTTCGAAATATGTAAAATTAATCCTTGAAAATTGTTATGCAAACTCCTCACTTATATTTAATATCTAGTGGATTGTGATTAACATTTTCATCTTTACTGTATAAGGTTATAAATCTTCTTCTTAATAAACCTTGAAAAAATCTATAATATTTTATTCATCAGTTAGAAATGGAATTAGAATTTCCACATCTTCTTATTTATAAACAAAGTTATCTTTTGCTAAACTAGATTTTGTTAAAAAGCTTTAGAACTCTGACTAACCCTAAAATAGCTTCTTGAATTTCTTTATCATATTTATAATTATACAATTACCAAAAATAATCAAGAGAGTTTTACTTCTAATTTATATATTTATTTTATTAAATAACACTAATCATTATTTATAAAGATACAGAATTATTAACAATTTAATCTTATCTCATAATTCATATATCAATCTGAGTCTTCTTTAATTTGATGCATAATTAATTTTTTCTCTTCTTATACCATTCCTGGATGTATAGTTTAAAGTAATTTATAATATTCATTTGTCTCATCTAAAAAGTCATCATATTCTTTTTTGCTCATTTAATTACGAGGACATTTACTTTTCTATTTTTTTATTTTCTTTCTTGCCATTTATATTTAAATTATAATATACTCAATCAATAAGAATAATAATACTAATCTAATTATAATATATCTTAATATTTTTACATTAATATAAAGATTTCATCATTTTCTTATTAACTATAATTATTAATCCATAAAAATAATAAAATCAAATAAATCTTTTACTGTTACAAAATAGATTATTATTACTCATTATTTAGTTAGGAGGCAAAGAATGATTTTCAAGCATGTCTTTTTCTATATTAAGATCATCAATCATATCTGAAAATATCTTTCTTCTCTTAAATTTCATTAACTATAGATATTCATAATTTTATAAATTGAAATAATTAGTTTATTCTAGAATCTTTTCTGTTTTTGAATTACATTAATACAACCAATTAAATAGTTGATTTTATGATTAAAATAAAGGTGAAGCATAATTATTTATATCATATATTAAATTGCTACTAAGTTTCAGTCTTAAATCATTTATTTATGAAATATTGTTAATTTTTAAATCTCTATTTAAATTATATGAAGAACATATCATTTTTTATCTTAAAATAATTTGTAGAGCTTTACTTATTTCTTATTTATTTTAATCTGCTATAAATAATTACAACTCCTTTAAATATTTATCTAAAAATATAAATAATTTTTATGATACTTCTCAATTCAGTTTTAAAATTTTAAAATTAATATTCATTTAAAATTAAAAGTACATTATTAGTAATTTATGTTTTTAATTCAACTTTTTTTTGTTTAAACTTAAATTTTAAAAAGTTAACTTAATTTTTATATTTAATTCTTTCAGATACAGGTAATAATTCATTTTATAATATGTTTTTCAGTTTTTAAATAGTTATTTCTAAATTTCCACTTCTTAATAATTTTAATATCTCTGGTAATTCATCTTAGAAATCTATTTCATTAATTAATTCAACATTTTTTTTAATGGTTTAGCTACTTTCATTAAAACAATTAGATTTTTAGAATATAGGAGCTGATTCAGCAACAGTATCTCTAACAGAGCACTCACTACCAACCTAAAGACTATTTTCATTATAACTTTCCATATCATCAATATCTTCTATTTCTTCTTAATCTATATGCTTTTAAACCATATTCTAATGTCTCTATACCATATTTTTTTCAATTTGATTTTTCATTTGATATACATTTCTAATATCTATATCTTATATACTTTTCTTGTTATTCCAATAAGGATTTCTCTCTTAAAATATTTGTATAAATATATCTCTTTTCAATTTTTCTAGTATTTTTAATAAACACTAAACTTTATGTTGCAAAATATTTTGGTAATTTATTAAATTTATTAATAGCAAAAAAATCAGAATTAATGGCTAATAAAAATTCTATTATTTCTAAATTTCCTATACTCATTGCAGTATGACACAAACTTTAACCATTATTACTAGAAAGATGATTAAAATCAAACAATTATCCTTTTTTAATATTATTTCTTTTAATTTGATTGTATTCATATCCAAATTTAATAGCTTTTATTTATTATTTTTTAATAGCAACATCCAAAGGAGTACTTCCTTCATAATTCTCAATATTAGGTTCAGCTCCATATTAAAGAATAATATTAGCAAATTCAGTACTATTTTCATGTTTATCAAAATTCATCATTAATTAATGTAATGGAGTATTTCCATCCATATTTCTATGCATTAACAAAGCTTCCTAAAATAATTATATATAAATTGCAAACTTGATTATTATGAGATGCTAAAATGAATCTCAAATTTTAGATATCAGCTCTTTAACTTATTTGATGAATAGCATTTATTGAAAAATTTGCTCCAAATGATTTTAGGATGCTTACTGATCTTTTTTATTATAAATACTTAACCTTAATTTCCCATCTAAATAACATACTGTTAAAGGAGTGTTGTTATCAAAATCTGTTTTATTAATATCTTATGGTATAATTTAATATAATCCATACAAAGCTCCAATATCATCATTTAATCCTGCTTAACAAAATAGATTTCTTTCTTTATAATCAGTACCAGAAAAGTTTTATTCATTAACACTTAATAATTTCACAAAATCTAAAAAATTTAATTTATTATGTTTCAATGCATTCATTAATTTTTATTAAATTGAAGAATATTTAACAAAGTTCAATTTCAAAGGTAAAGGAGGTTTACAGTATTTAAACCAATCAAATTCTAATTGATTCATATTTTTTATTGCCCTATCAAAATTCTTTGGTAATTAAGTGATTGGATTCATTTAGATACACAAAACTTCTAATGGATATATATATGGTTGATCTAAATTATTGCTTGAAATATTCAATTATCTTAAACTCTTAATATGGAAATTTAAACTATGTAATTGATTTTATGATAAATCTAATATCTCTAAAAACTTTAATGACTCTAAAAAATTGGGAATATAAGTTAATAAATTTGAGCCCATATACAATTTTTAAAGATTCACCATTTATCTACAAGTATTATAATAGATTTACTTAATATCTTCTGGAATTTAAGTTAAATTACATCTTGTTAAATCGAGTAGTTTTAGGTTCAAATATTTATTAAACGATATATGAGTATTACTTAATCCTTTCCCTTGTGCTTCTAATTTCTCATCTGTAAATAAATATTCTTATATCTATAATATTTTATTATTTCAATACTGTTTCAGCTGGTGCTTTCAAGTCAAGAGGTTAATTGATGTTTAAATTTGAAAATTGAATTTTATCTTCTAAAGTCTTTTAATTCAAAATTGCTAGATTTATCCCTCTTTAATGTTCATCAAATTCTGATTCATTATACATATCACTTTGAGAACTTTCTACATATTGTAAAGTTTAATTCATTTAATAATAAAAACAAAGTATTTTATTAATAAAATTTATCAAAATTGAATCACTTTTAACTTCTCTATTATCTCTAACATTTGTATCATAAGATAATTCTAAATTTTTGTTTCTTTAATCCATCCTCATAGTATATAAATATAAATTATGAGAACTAATAAAAAAATTAAATTAATATCCTCTCCCAGTAATAGTATTCTTAAAATATAAACTTATCACTTATAATCTGATTATATGATCTAATAAATAATTTTGAAAGCTGCTTGATTTATTAATTTCAAATCCACAAATTATTATTTTCAATAATAACTCTATATTTATTCATAAGTCTTGAAACTTAACTGATAATCATAACTGAACATAGAATTATTCTTTAAATATCTCCTAATTTATTAAAAGGTCAAATATTCATATAAAACATTCACAAATCCTTTAACAGAAGAATTTTAACCATTAGATTATAATGCTATATTAGCTAAAATATAGTTCCCTCAAATATATGAAAGCTCTTATAACTAATATACAAATTTAGCTTATTTAATAATAGGATTAAATTGAGAGATTGCAATTTGGCTTTGTATTAGTATTAGAAAAAAAAATACATATAATGTTTCAGAACAATGATTCCATTACTCTTGAGCTTATTTTCTTAAGTTTGATCATTTTGTCATGTTTGGGATATACTATAGGTAGAGGATCATTATTTAATTATGAAAAATCTATTAATGGGAGGAAAGATTGATGATGTTGAGGCTGGGTAGTTTTTTTACTATATAACATCATTAGACGTTGTTTATTTTAGATTTAACATCTTTTGTTTGTAACTTTTTTAAATTCTTTGTTTTCTTTTTATTTCATTACGTCAAGTTCTAAATATTGCATACTCATCGTTGGAGGATCAAGAGTTGATAACCTTCGTTTAACATCACCTATTTAGGTTGGCTAAGAGTTTTCACTGTTTAGAGTTCTATGCCGAAATTATACTGTCTTTCTTTGATCATTTAATCGAGCAATGATTTCCTTAATGTTATATTGCATAAAATTATTTATTGCATACATGATAATTAATCGCTCACATAAATTAATTAATCCATTTAATTCTCAATTTTAAAAACAGTTCTAATATATTTGATAGATATATATAAATTATCATTAACAAATTTTAGTATATTAGTGAAATAAAATATTTATCATTAAAGATAACTTAGCTATAACGATTTAATTTTTTAGCATATTTGTAAGAATTATCGTTTAGTGAGATTTTAAGGTTTTTCTTCAACGACTAATTTTAATTTGAATTCATTCAAGTAAAATATGGATTTCTCATAATTTGAGACTACTTACATACATATCTCTAAGTATACTACCAAATATGTTAAAAGTAATATGCCACCTTCTTCTACTCCATCCAATTAATCCTATTCTCTAACATTTATCAATTTTAAGTTTAATTAATTCTAAAGATAAGTAATGCAACATCTTAATAAAGGAAGCATTAAAATATAATGACTATGTACTTCTAAGTCACTTTAATCAAATGCTGCTGCAAATCTTTTATCTTAAAGAATTTCATTTAATAAAGTCTCATCTTTATGAATAGAATCCCACTAAATTATAATATAAAATTATTTACCAATTTATTAAATGAAATTCTAAATGTATCATTCATAAGATTACTTTAATGTAAGAATTCACTTTTCTTTGTCTAATCAATAGTAGAATGATTTTTATTCAAAATAAATATTAGTTATTTTGATTTAAAAATAGCATGTTTGATAGTAAAGTATAATAATTTTTCTTTTAATCCTCCTTCAATAAAAAAATCAAAATGATCAACAATTTTAGCTATTCTTAAAATTAATTTAAGTAAATTTAGAATATTTTAAACTGCTTCACCATAATTTACTAATTCTTATCTTGTCTCTGGGAGATTTTTACTACTTTAAAGTCTTTAAACTTAAAGATTAGTACGTTATTAAGATTAGCTAGTTTTTGCTCTATTTTCTAAATTATCTAATTGAGAATTATTAAGAGAAAATTATACAGATTTTCTAGAAGGTCTTACTTAAAAGCATCTGAATAAATCATGTTCCAATAATTAATTACAATTGTATCTTTTATTCTCTTCTAATTATAAACATTTAATGATGAGATCTTTTGCTGTTGATGAAATCTTAATATTCCTTGAAAATTGAATTGGAGTTGTTGTGATTACTTTAACAAATTCCTATTCTGTTCCTGCCTACCAAGGTACTTTTCCTAAGAAAATATAAAAGACATTATAATACCACTCAAAATTTAATAGAACATCACTCCCAAACTCCAAACATCACTTTTTTCTGAATATTTGTTTTCAGTCAAAGCTTATGGAGGCATATAAAGAGTTGTACCAACATTATAATAAACTTTTTCTTTTGGAGAATAGACCATTTTTGAAAATCCATAATCAGCAATCTTATAAATCCCTTTACTTATCAAAATATTTGAGGGTTTTAAATCTCTATGAATAACACCCTTTGAGATTTACTCTTTGAATCCTGTCAAAATCTAATAAAAGATTAAGACTGCTTCATTCTCAGGTATATACCCTCTTTTAATGATTAAGTCTGCTAAATCACCTATATAAATAAAAACAAATTATACCCTAATTGCAGTATTCAGTTATGATATATGTGAAATTAGTATTTTGACAATAACAATGCATTTTAACAATGTTGTAAGAATCTAAAACTTGTAAAGCTGTGATTTCTTATTATAATAGTTGTCTCTCTATTTCATGTTACATTTTTGAGTGATCACAAACCTTAATTTGATTTATTAACATACTTTAATAGCAACAATCTCTCCATTCATATCATTTCTACCTTTGAATACTTGGCTTTTGTATCCTGATCCAATCAAATCATCTGGATCATAACTGTAAACACTAACTTTTATCCTCTGTTGATTGTTCATATTTTTATAATTAATTTCTTTATTTTTATTGGTCTCTAATAAAATAAACAATTTAAGATCTAAGTTGATAAAACTAAAGAATTTAGTAATTACGTTTTATCTCTATTTATTTAAAAATTATTATGGAAAACTTTTTTGATAAATAGGCTTATTAAATTGAAACTGGAATTCCTATCTTCAAACAAATAGTATTACTTAAAATATAATCAAATGATGTTGTAAGATGTCATTTGAAATTGGAGAATACCTAACTTTCTTTGTATGACTACTGCAAAGAAGAATTAATATTAAATACTATAAATATTGCTAATTCTTATCTTGAATTTACACTCCATGTCTGCATGGGAAGGGGAGTCTATATCAAACAATCTTCTAAATAATTGTAGATTTTTGGATTAACACCATAATTGATCTAAATACTGAAATTATACGGAATTTAAAAAGATTTTGCGACTCAATATACAGTTATTAAGGAAATAGGAAGGGGAAGTTTTGGAAAAGTAATATCAATTGTGTAATATGAATAGGTGTATTAAGTAAAAAATGTGTAAAATAATTAACAATATGCTGTGAAAATGTTTGAAAAATAATTACTTTTGGATACTAAATATAGATAAGCAATTAGAAAAGAGATACAAATCTTACGATTAATGGACCATCCCAATGTACTTTCTATAGTAGAATGTTTTGAAAGTGAACAATGCATATTTTTGGTAGAAGAATTACTTGACAGCCATTTGTAAATAGGTGTAGATTGTATATTAAAAGAAGAAAAAGCAATCCTCATTTTAATCAAAGTTTTAAAAGGATTAGAATATATCCATTCCAAAAATATATTACATAGAGATATAAAACCAAATAATATATTACTTAGAATTAATGGAGATCCAGTAATTTCAGATTTTGGATTTGCTGATTTCTATAGACTAGATGGAAATTATTTATTTCTAAAATGTGGAACAAATGGTTATCTTGCTCCTGAAATGATTACTACTTAAAATTATAATTACAAGGTAGATATATATAGTCTAGGAGTGGTATTTCGTTAATTATTAACTGGTTGTGCATCAAATCTATTTGATATTAACACTTTATCTAATGATTGTCAAAAGTTGATATAAGGAATGCTATGTCCTAATCCTAATAATAGACTATCTATCAATGAAATAAGATAAAATAATCTTATTAGAAGAATTTTAAGAAGATCTTAAATACTCAAAGCAATGTCTAATATATCAGAAAAAGCAAAGTGTTGTTTTATTAATGACTAAAAAAATGATGTTGAAACCAAAAGCTTCTCTATATTTTAATCTTAAATACCTTCTCTAAAGAGTTTATGATATTTAATTAGTATATATTTTAAAATGAAATCTCCTTTAAAAGATTTTGCTTCAACATAAATTGATGAAAAGAGGAGTTCCTTTTGGTAATTCAAAAACATTACAAACATTCCTCTAACCATCAATTTCGATAGATTCAATGTGTATTCTGAAAAGAAAAAAACGTTTAAAGAGATAGAGATAGCTAAAATGAAGAGTTTAATCTTTAAGAAAAAGAAGAATCAAGTATTATGAGAATTTGATTTTAGACTGGAGTATTAATTGTTGATATAACAGATTGTATCATTTCAATAGTTGAAAATAATCATATTGGACATGGTCTTTAATTTACTAAAGCAACTTTTTAGTTTCTGATATTTGGATCTCAAATTCTTGATTGGTTTGAATCATTAAAAAAATATTGTTATTAAACAGAATTTAGTAATAAATATGAGTTATTGACTTTACTCAACAGAGGATCATTATATAAAGTATCAATTTATCAAATAAATAAGTTATACGATGCAATAAATATCTTTGAATAAATTAATTATACTGTGAAAGTATATGAAAAATAAATATTCACAAAATAATCTGATATTGATGCAATCAAAAAGGAGATTTCCATCTTTAGATAGATGAATCATCCTGGAGTTGTAAATTTAATAGAGGTGTTTGAAAATGAGTAAGGATTCTTAATAGTATATGATTCTTTTGAAGGAGGCACTTTAAGTGATATGATAAAGAAATATTAGATTCCAGAATAATAAGCAATTAAGATTATTTTTAGATTGCTAGATTCTTTAAGTTATATTCATGAATAGAATGTATTACATAGAAATTTGAAACCAGAAAATATTTTATTAAAGAATCTTTTGGCTCCAAATAATGTTTAAATTAGTGATTTTAGTCTTGCTGATTTTTTTAGAAGAGATAATAAATATTTATTTACTCGTTGTGGTACACCTGGTTATGTGGCTCCAGAAATTCTATAAGATAAAAGTTATGATTTTAAGGTTGATGTCTATAGTTTAGGTGTTATCTTCTATACTATGTTATCAGGAGGTATTTCTCCATTTCCAACAAAAAGCTATGATGAAAGGATTTTTCTAAATTATCAAGGTCAAATTGATTTTTCAATAATTGATGCTTCATCTGATGCTTTGGATTTATTAAAATAATTGCTTGAAATCAATCCATAGAAAAGAATCAATTCTTTTTAAGCAATTTGGCATCCTGCTTTCAAAGGATTACATAAACTTAAAATAACTAGCTTAGAAACAGAAAAGAGAAATTCTTCAATTAAATTAACTATTAAATAAAGTCTGCCTCCTAAAACAATAGAGAATCTAAAATTAATTCCTTGTCCCATTAATCAATTACCTCCTGCATCAATATAATTTTAAAGAAGATAAAAATTTAGAATTGCTTTTAAAAATAGTCGCCAGTCTCTAAGTAATGCTTCATCTCCATTGGTTTCACCAGGAAGAAAATTGTTTACAATGCAATCTCAAAAAACACTCTTTTCAAATTTATTTGAGAAGGGGACATAAATTTATTGAATATATTTTTGTATAATCATTATTGATAGATACTTTTATTATAATTCGTTTCTAAATCAATAATGGAATGGCTCAAATTTTATAAAATTAACAAAAATTTCATTTGAACCATTTAAGCCTTTGATTCATGCTTACATTATATTGAATTTAACATTATAAGATTTATATTTTGATCTTTTATATATATGAATCATACTTGAATTTGATAAATCAATTATATTTATGTTGAAAATATAACCCAGAAATTCCATTAATAATTTTACAGTATGAAATCTCACATATCATTTAATTGTTAATCTATTCTTTTTGAACCAGATTAACCTTTCTGGAAAAAAGTTGATAACAATATTAAACTTGATGAATTTACTAAAGAAGAGCTTTATTATTATTCTAATAAACATAGAGAATATAAGAAGAAGACTTTTGGGCGAAAGGGTTCAATAATAGTGAAATTTGGAAGCAAAGAAGTATATTTTTTAATTTAAAGTAGAATGATATAATGTGTTGTAATGTGAGAAACTCTTTAATGGAATAAACTAATCATTAACAATATGGTTTTGGACTCAAGTTCATCTAAAATACACATTATATTGAGGTTTTCGGTTAATTTGAATACTGGAATCAAGAACTAAAAAAACATTGTATTCAAACCAATCTTAAAACCAAATATACAATTGGTAGAAAACTTGGAACAGGAAGCTTTGCAGATGTATTTATATAATTTTTAACATAAGGTTTATCTTATTATTCATAATGAGAGTAAGCAAGAGTTTGCTGTCAAAATATTTGATAAGACTTCTATTAAATTTGATTTAACTTGTGTAAAACAAGAATTAGATATATTAAGATTAATGGATCATCCTAATACAAGTTAAATCATAGAAACATATGAATCATCAAAATACTTATATTTAATACAAGAGTTTTACAAATATGGAAGTCTTTACGATTATTTAATTAAAACTGAAATTCCAGAAGAAGATACAATAAGAACTACTTATAAGTTGTTAGAAGCATTAATTAGTATTCATTCAAAAGGAGTTTTGCATAGAGATATCAAACCTGAAAATATTTTACTTCGTAAACCCAATCTTGAGGATATTGTTATCTCAGACTTTGGATTAGCTGTTTATTACAATGATAATGGTAAGTACAATCATTAAAGGGCTGGTACACCTGGTAATATTGCTCCAGAAATTCTTAAGGATTAGAATTATGATTATAAAGTGGATGTATATGGATTAGGAATTGTACTTTATTAGATGTTAACTTCTAAGCAATCACCCTTCTACAATTAAAATTATCATAAGATGTTGTCTGAAAATCGAGAAGGTTATATAGATTATTCGTAAATAAAAGCCTCATCTCAAACTATTAATTTACTTACTAAGATGCTTGATCCTGATCCTTTGACAAGATATACAGCATTATAAGCTAAATAAGATTAGGCATTTAAAAAATATAATAGGCAAACTATTATAATTAAAAGAAAAAAAATAGTTAAAGATTAAACTATCTCTAGTTTTAGCCCAAGAAGCAATTCGATTTATTTTAGTCCTTCCCAATAATAAACTCCTCCTATAATTGTCTCAAGTCCTAAAAATAGTTCTCAATTCAATAGAAGAATACTTGGACTTCCATTAAGATTAAAACATGAGGATAGAAGATAATTTTTCTCACCCAACTCTAATATTAATAGTGGGATCTATAGTAATTTGAGTAAAAAGAATTATAAAATTTCAAATAACCAAACCAGAAATAGTATTTATTATGGAATGATTTCTCAAAAAGCTTCCTGTTGATGAATTCGAAATCAATATGATTATTTAATTTTAGTTGTTTATTATTCGATATATATAAATAAATATGAAATTGTTAGAAATTATAATGATTTTGAAGTGACAATATTATTTACAATTTTCTAGAAAAACATTAATTAAATAATAAACCTTTGTCAATAATAGGTATATGCATATAATTACATATTCTTGGTAATTTAATGTGCGAAATAAATGCAAAATAATATTTTTGGATTTGATATCTTAGCTTAATTGCTTTTAATTAATAAATCAATAAACTTCTAAAATATTTTAAGTATAGAAATATTATATATAATGAATGTAGATTTCTAATAATTAAATTAAAATTATGTTAATAATAATACAAGTGAGACTATTCCAATATCATAAATTCATATTTGAGGTTGTTAAATAGATTTTTAAAATGGTAATTTTAATAATTAATGCTTGAAATGATTTTAAAAAAGAATTAATTATCATCCTCCAGGTTTGCTGTCTTAAGAATTTATTAAAAATAATTTTAATATTTTTTTACTGCATCTCTATTTAAAGAATGAAGGTAATTGCTTATTTAATTTCTGATTTAATAATGCTTTAAATATAGAAATAAAATATTGAATCTTAAAATAAATCTAGATTTAGTATAATTGAAAGTGTAATGATAAATATTATTACATAGATTACAGTCTTATTATTTTTTTTTTCTTTTATAAACTTCTGTTTATGAAGCAGTTATTGAAAAAGAAAATTAAACTATTATTATAGAATGATAGTTTGTTATTAAAATTTAATTAGCTCATTTTTATGATTTATTTTTAGATTATTTAATTTTAGATATTTATTATTCACATTTGAATATTATAATCCAATAAAATTATAGCATTATTGATAAATTGTAATGAATGATTTTTTGAGTTTTAATGATTAGTGATAATTAATTTTGTTAAAAGAATGATTAATTTAGTATGTTTTAATTGTTTTATTATTTATACATAGAGATGAGGCATTATTATTTATTATTGATGTATTTATATAAATTAGAGATTAAAATTGTTCTAGAGAATTTTCATAATTAATTGAGATGATTTTAAGAATAAGAAACATTTATGGATATTGTAGCAAAAATACAAATTATCATAAGATTGTTGGGTCAATACCAGGATAGGACAATAAAGACATAAAGGAGAATTTAGAAAAGTTTACAAGAATTTATTAAAAAGTTGATTTTAAGTAATTACAGAGAGAATAGATTGAAGAATAATAAAAGAAATTTATGATGCAGAATTAAGAGGCAAGATAATTTGGTGAATCCATTCAAGATGATTAAAAGGTAATCAATGGTAATATATGACAGAGAGAAATTGGAAAAAGCAACTATTTAAAATTGATGGGTATATTTTTTTTGGGGATGTTTATATATTTGGGGAAAGAAACTTATAAATTCTTAAAGAATCCAAGAAATGTATTATTATATGATGAAAACACTGGAAAAACATATTACACAACTAAAGAAGAATTTGAAAGAATTAAGGCAGAATAAAAAAGAAATAAGGAATTCAAAGAATTTAGATTTAAGGTGTTGTCTAAACAATAAGATCAAAAAGAGTAAAAAGGAGGCATAGATTCATTATTTTGATAATTATATAACACAATTAATTATTCTTGTGGAATCATCATATATAATAATAGTAAAAGTGTTTTTGATTTAGAAAGAGAGTGGAATCAGAATTTGATTGGATTTCTTAATTGCTTGCGTCATATTCATAGTATTTTATTTATCGAATTAATACTATATATAAATGAGCTATTCATTCTGCAAAATAATCATAAATAAAAATCTCTTTTTTTTAGGATTTCATGCAATTCACTTTGAAATTGGCATTTATTTTAGCATATTTGCATGAGACATTGTCTTAAACATGCAGAGTAAGCATTATTATATGGTTAGACTTAAAATACAGAATACAATTTGTTGACGNAAACTTCTGTTTATGAAGCAGTTATTGAAAAAGAAAATTAAACTATTATTATAGAATGATAGTTTGTTATTAAAATTTAATTAGCTCATTTTTATGATTTATTTTTAGATTATTTAATTTTAGATATTTATTATTCACATTTGAATATTATAATCCAATAAAATTATAGCATTATTGATAAATTGTAATGAATGATTTTTTGAGTTTTAATGATTAGTGATAATTAATTTTGTTAAAAGAATGATTAATTTAGTATGTTTTAATTGTTTTATTATTTATACATAGAGATGAGGCATTATTATTTATTATTGATGTATTTATATAAATTAGAGATTAAAATTGTTCTAGAGAATTTTCATAATTAATTGAGATGATTTTAAGAATAAGAAACATTTATGGATATTGTAGCAAAAATACAAATTATCATAAGATTGTTGGGTCAATACCAGGATAGGACAATAAAGACATAAAGGAGAATTTAGAAAAGTTTACAAGAATTTATTAAAAAGTTGATTTTAAGTAATTACAGAGAGAATAGATTGAAGAATAATAAAAGAAATTTATGATGCAGAATTAAGAGGCAAGATAATTTGGTGAATCCATTCAAGATGATTAAAAGGTAATCAATGGTAATATATGACAGAGAGAAATTGGAAAAAGCAACTATTTAAAATTGATGGGTATATTTTTTTTGGGGATGTTTATATATTTGGGGAAAGAAACTTATAAATTCTTAAAGAATCCAAGAAATGTATTATTATATGATGAAAACACTGGAAAAACATATTACACAACTAAAGAAGAATTTGAAAGAATTAAGGCAGAATAAAAAAGAAATAAGGAATTCAAAGAATTTAGATTTAAGGTGTTGTCTAAACAATAAGATCAAAAAGAGTAAAAAGGAGGCATAGATTCATTATTTTGATAATTATATAACACAATTAATTATTCTTGTGGAATCATCATATATAATAATAGTAAAAGTGTTTTTGATTTAGAAAGAGAGTGGAATCAGAATTTGATTGGATTTCTTAATTGCTTGCGTCATATTCATAGTATTTTATTTATCGAATTAATACTATATATAAATGAGCTATTCATTCTGCAAAATAATCATAAATAAAAATCTCTTTTTTTTAGGATTTCATGCAATTCACTTTGAAATTGGCATTTATTTTAGCATATTTGCATGAGACATTGTCTTAAACATGCAGAGTAAGCATTATTATATGGTTAGACTTAAAATACAGAATACAATTTGTTGACGATTGTAAATGGAGAGACCTTCCGCTTACCATTGGGTGATTATTTCCTTGGTGATGGACTATCATACACTGTTACACCTTCAACTTCACCATTTACCTAGAAAACTGTAGTAGTAGGATAAGGAACAATTTAAGGTAAAATAATTTCATCAACATCCTCATATTTCAATAATAATCCCAACATTTAAGGAGTAAAATATTACGCTCTTACTCAAAGTACAGGAGGTGGCTATTAAATTTATTAATCATAACTTCCAACTGGAGCCCCATTTACTTAGATATCATACACAACCAACTTTGCATCAATCAACACAGGAGCAACTTGTTATTAAATTAATTTCATATAAAATATGATTGTAGTAACTTGTTCAGCTTAAGGCACTAATTAATTGACATACATATTTTTTTCAGCATCTCCAGCCCCACAATTATAATAATTATTTAATTAGACTATCGCTTCAGCCACTATCACAGCAGGAGCTTATGTATAGACTTAGGCTGTTGGATAATATATAGTAACTTAAATAAATTCTGGAGCATATGATAATCAAGCCTATTCACCAGCATCATCATCACTCTATATATTCCAATTGACTTTAAGTGTAACATAATCATACAATTTAATCTAAATACTACTTCCTTAATCTCCAGATGCAAATTAAAATACCCTTTTCTTTACAGGTATTTCCTTATAAGAAAATGGAATACGTAATTATTATCATATATCTTAGTCTTTTTTACAACATATTAAACAGGATTATCATATGTAAATTTATAAAATTTGCCAGGTACAATTTAATCATTCAATCCATTCAGTACAGGTACTTTGGGTGTGAGTTCTTATAGTGTGGATTATTCATCAAACCTCTTTTATTTAGCTATTTGGAGTGCTGAAGGTATTGTTGCAGGTGTTTATAATTCAGCAAATGCAGTACCTGTAAATAAATTAATAAAATATTTTAGTTTAAATCAGCTTAAGTTATATCAACAAGTTAAATTACTGAAGTTTAAATGTTTGCAACATAAGTTTATATGAATCCTAGATTCCTTATTGTTGTTAATTCTAATGGAATTAGTGTCTATCCAAGCATTTTAAATGATATCAACAATTGGTAATTGCTCTATTTTATGCCATTAAATGTATTATCTAGTGCATTTGATTATTACAATAATATTTTAGTAACTGTTTAAGGTTAAAATGTTAATACTTATTAATTTAATAACCCAATCCTTACAGCTATTATTTCAACTCCAACTTCAACTGTTTAAAATTTTACAATTACCGCAATTGCTAGTATGTATGGATCAAATTCTAGTTAGACATGTACTTTGACATTATACTATAATGTTACATCAAATCTTTAAACTGTAGAAATATTTTAGGCATATTAAGTGAATAGTTCAAAAGAAACATTTGTTCAATGGGGTCCTTTATTTAATTTATATTTGGGTTCAATTTAAAATGTTAACATAAACAAAATGTTGATTGGACCAGCTATTTTAGCAGGATTTCCAACTACAAATTAAGCATATTCTAATATTGATATTCAATTTTCAAATGTTTTATCAACTCCTTAAATAAATAGTCCTTACAGAATCAACTCTAATCTTATAGTTGGATAAAAGATTTTGTACTCTCAAATGTTTTATGATACTTCTTATATTGTTAATGATAAAACAGGAGAATAATTCAAAGACACTTACCTTTAATTGGTATAAGTCTCCAATTATATTGTCTTATTTTAATGTTAAGGTTTTGAAGATTAACCATGCACTTAAATTGCTAACATTCCAGTTGATATAACATTGGTTGAACAATTTGCTTTGAGTTTTTCATCAAATAGTTTAATAAATATAGCATATATGTGGAATGATTTTAGTATCAAAGACTAAATTTCAGTAGGACATATTACAATTTGTCAATTGACCTACCCTTCTACAACAACTAATTCAAATTGCAAAACATATAATTTTAATTCTAAATAAGCAGTCTCTACAAATGCATTATAGATTTCATTGGCTTAAGACAGTTTCTATGTTCTTTATACATAAACAGTAGATGAAGTAGCTACAAATTATTTCTCTGCTTTTAATGTATAAGAATACTTTAATGCAGCTTAGATAACTGATATTACTTCACTTTAATCATATTGTTAATATTTAAATACTAATAATGTTGTTATAACAAGTTTCACATAAAATATTCCTGCCTATGGAAATGTTATCTTCTTAAATACTTATAATATTGTAATTACTGACACTATAACTAATTATTATTATTATGTTACAGCCATTAATTATAATGGAGGTTATCTTAGTGTAGTTGGATAATATAGCTATGTTTTAGATGAAATTGGAAGTGTATAAACAAATGATAATATAACAGCACCATTTACTAATTACTATTAATTTACAATTGATGGAATGTACATTTTGACACTTAATAGCAAAGGAAATTCTACTTTAAAATTTTACCCAAGAGTTGATCTTTTACCATCAATCTTTTACTCTAAAACTCAATAAACTACACCTAAATTACCTGTTAATGGAATTACATTAGAATAGTATGGAATGACAAATATAGTCTAAGTTGCTTCATCAGCTCGTTTCCTTTATGTTATGGGTCAACCTGTTGGTTCAAATACATATTCAATTTATGTTTATAAGAATACTCCTACAAGCTAAAATGCTTTGTATTATGTGATTTCAACAGATGCTAATGATCAAATAATTAATGCTCCTTTTAGTGTAACAAGTGCAATATAATATGATGGAATATTATTCAAATCTAGAGGAAATGATGGATATCGTAATAGTATACTTTTACCTGAATTTGAATTTGCTGTGAAATGCAATTTGAATAGCAATTTCTAATAACAAATAGAATATAGTTATGTCATATTTAGGGCTACATCTTAATTGAAAAATACTAAATTACCATAGACAGCATAAGAATATTGGGCAACTTTTGAATCCATCAATTTAATTTCCTTTACTAAAGAAACCACTACAATAGCAACTGTAGGTGATATATCATCTTCAGGATATTTATAAGTTGATCCAAGAGGATACTTTTAAGGAAATATTTAGAGCTTCGTTCTATCAAATGGAACAAATTCTACTACTTTTTATTTCTTCAACTTAACTTCCCCAGTAGTAAGATAACCTCAAACCACAAACTATTAATACCCAGTAACAGCAGTTTCAGCATATATGTAGATATCCAAAGAATAAACACAACTACCTTTTGCTAACTAATAAAATTAATATTGGTTCACATTTGTTTAAACAGATAGATTAGTATATGTTACTCCATATATTTATTATAATCCCCCTCAAGATTTTGTTGATAATTCAACAATAAAAATTAATTATCCTTTGATTTATAAATTACCTGTTTTGGACATAGCTCCTAATTCTTAAAGCTGTCCATTAATATTTGTGGATCCATAGTCTAAAGGTGTTGTTAGTGTATGTGGAACTAAAATAAATAATAAATTTGCAGCTTCATTCACATTGTTTAACACTTTAACGCAATAAGTTATGGAAACTAAAATAATATTCTTGGATTAAGCTTTTCCAGTTTTGAATTAGGTTAATCTAACAAATAATGGATCATATCAACTTTAATCAGCAACTTATTTAGATATCGGAATTGTTGTATTATAATTTAAATACACTTATAATTTTGGTTCATCACCTCCAACACTCGTAGTATTACCATTTTTATATACTTCTAATTTGAACTAGAAAATAGCAAATTATCCAAATAATACAAATACATATTTTTACTAATTCATTTAACCAATATAATCAGTCTATTAAGTACCAAATAGTAATTTGGGAAGTGAAATTTCAGTTACAGTATTTTAATTAACATCACAATACTTTGGTGGATTAAATACTTAAAATTAAACAAGTCCAATGAGTTTCGGACTTTTATGTGTTTCAGATACCAAAGAAGAATGTTTAATACCATATTCTACAACATCATAAAACTAATCTCCAACTAGTGGAGTAGTCATTATAATTAATTAAGGAACCACTTTGGCTAATGTATTTAGTACCAACACTACAGTTAATTTCACTTAACCAAACGACTCAATTTAATCACTTATTGTTACCCCCTTCCAGATATCTTTATTCAATATAGTATCAGGTATTACATTTATATTATGTTTAGATTACACAAAAAGCTCAGTTCAATAGGTTGTTTAAGCAGGATCCCCAATCTAGTTTAGTAATGCAATCTCTGAAGTACCCTTAATTGCAGTCAGTTAAGGAACTGCCTATGTCTTCAAATTGTAATTTTATTTGAGCAATGGCCAATATATCCAATCATTATATGCTTGCACATTACTTGGATTATCTAATCAAAATCCCATTAAGCAAATTTCAGCAAGCAGTTCAAACGCTGGCCAATATTAAGTAGTTGCAGTAGTAGCAAATCCAATACCTTCAAATACTTAATAAGTAACACTACTTAATTATGGATTTATCAATCAGTAAATTTTATAATCATTTTAATAGATAATGTTAGATAAATACTAATGCAGTGACAACTGGTAAACCAATAACACCCTAAGATGGATAAGAAGTGTTAGTAACATCTATAGGAGCAACTACTTATAAATCAGCTGAAGCTACTCCAATCTTAACTTTAATGTAACCCCCATAAGTAAATGGTTAAATCAGTGGAATTGCAAGAACATTAATTAGTGACAATTCAGTGATTACTTTACTTGACACTAGTCCATATCTTACCATTTCAGCTTATCCTAATTATAATCTTTAAGGAGGTGTCACTTTGAATTCATCAGTATTATTCTCAAATGTTACTTAAAATCTATCAACATCCATTTCAGCTATGAGTGTTTAAACATATGTAAACAATTAATTGATTTCTGGGGAAGGAGGATCAACAATCTTTTAACTTGGTATTTCACAAATTCCAATCAATTCATCATTCCCAGATTCAGTTTGGGATAGAAAATTATGGGGTTAATTTATTTGGGGATCTATCCTATTTATAATCATCTTAGGCACTATTGGATACTTGTTTTACAAATCATAACCATAGCCATACGATAGATTTTGATAAATAAGATAAATACATATAAATTAAAATATTTGAATAAAATCATAGTTCTTCATAATATATCTCCTCTTCTAATTCCTATTCTTCATCTCCATTCAATCCTTTATTCTTTAAAAGTGATGGTGGTTATAATATGCTATCAGAAATTTTAAATTCACTTTATTCTTCTTCCTTTTGCTACTCTTTGATTTGTTCTACTTTAAAATTTACAATTTTTGTCTACTCACTCTATTTCTTTATGAAAGGTATACTCTCAACATAAGTTTCACTATAGGTAACATTTTCTCTTCCACAAGTAGTTGGTTTTCTACTTTCAGAAGTCTTCAATGAATAATCATTCTATCGTAGTTCTAATATAAGATTCATTATTTACATGAATATGTAAGGATTGGTTCAACAGTTATGTGCATTTTCATTTCAATAGGTTTTTAAACTATATCCTCATCATCTTCATATTTTACTTAAATCTTTGGTGTTGATCTATATATTTGGAAATTAATCTTCTATAATTTATTTAATTGATCCATCATTTCACATTCTTCTCTTAAATACAAACTCAAAAATCCTTGATCTATATTCCCTGAATCACCAAGATACAAAGAATTTATTAATCTCAAAAAACTTATATGTTCCAAATTCCATTTTGTATTATTCTTTATATAAATTATGTATTCATCAATATTGTACTTTTTATCCTCTAATTTTAATTATTTCATTTCAAAATTCAAGAATTTTATTAAACTATTCTTATTTATTATACTTTTAAAATTAAATTGAGTATCCTCTTTATTTGGAATCATTTACTATATCATATCATTTACACTCTGAGTATCTTCCCATTAAATTTTATAACCTTATCCTTTGTCTTCTCCTATAAAATACCTACTTAACACTATAGCATCTTTTTCTGAATAATTGAATGGTCTCTTCATAAAAAATTCTAGTCCTTATGATAATTAAAGATATTCAATCCCTTTAAATAAATATTGAAGTTTTGATCGAGTTAAACACATTGAAATTACTTTATACTTTAAATCTTCAAGCAATTCTTTTAATCGTTCTTAATCTATTGGATCAGTATTAATTATATCAGTAGCTTTATGTTCTGCTTATTGCACTTCTGGAAATTAAGTAAATTAAGAACGATAACATTTTGGTGGAATCAAATGTTTAACAACTGGTTCTTCTGATGTAGTCTTTTGTTTAAGTAGATCCTATATAGCAACACGATCTTATAAATCTTGTCTAATTAATAATAAATTTATTTTAAATAATACATTAGCAATTCTTTTTTAGAAAGTGTATCTTCTAAATTCTATTTAGCTTTCTGAGCTAAAGCTATTTATTATTTAAACTCTCGTTCTTAATCTTATTATTATTTAGTAGCTGATTTATATTTAGTTTCATAAAGGGAAAGTTCCCCTTTTAAAGAGTCAACTTGTTTTAATACACTCCTAATTATAATCAATTCATAATACTGTAATTTCTTTTCTAAAAATTCTCTTTTCTTTTATTAATATTATTCAGTCTCTGTAATTGTTTAATCTTCTAATTTCTTTTTTAATTGAGTTTTCTCAAAAGAAATCTGTTTAACTTCTTCCTTCACTTTTATATTGTCTTCAACAAGTCCTTAATATTCACATTTAAGTTAATTAATTTGCTTTTCTAGTACTTCAATTTGGCTCTCTTGGGCATTGATGGTCAACACATAATTTTTTATACGCTCCCCTATCTCTGGATCATTAAATAAGCTGTTTTCATATGGAAAGCACATACTCTTGGTCTGTCACCTTGATGGCGACTTATTGAAACTGTTTCAAGCGCATAATTTCATCTTGTTGATTCTTTATTTCTTTCTGTAATTCTACAAGTTAAGTTAATTTCACTGATTTGCATTGTCTTCTTAAGTCGTCAGTAAGCTCGAATATTTATTAAGCCTATTCTCTTATCTTAGCTTTAAGCATAGGCACAATACTCCCTTCTTAATTTGCTGTTGTCAACCCTAAAGGGTCTGTGTGTAACTGATAACGATCAACTTTCTCTATTTACTAAATTCGATTCTAAAGTATTAAGAATGTAGACAAATTACTTATAACTATTAAACCAAAGTTCTCAATTTAATATTCTGCATACGAAGCATATTTGCCTCTTATTTAAATTGAAGATTCTGAATGTAAAGAGTCTCTCCATCAGCATAACGTTTAGTGGGAGGGCTTGTAACTTTGTTTTGTTTAGGAGTAAACATTAAATGAGATATTGAATCTCTAGATCGTGCATCAGATGCCTCAGATTTCAACTTCATGATTGCTGAATGAGGTCTATTCTGCATAATTAAGTAATTAATATATCACTATTTATTTTCTTTTCTACTATATTTTTGTTTTAATTTCTTTTTTAATCTGCTTATCTACTTTCTTCAAATTTATACTAACTCTTTTATTCTTCATTTCTATTTTATCTTCTATAATTCAATTAATTGTTTGTATCTCAATTCTCTATATTTTTTATTTCTAATTTAGAAACACTATTTCTTATCAATAATAATCTTTATTATATGAATTAAATTACTATTAAACTTTATTATCATAGATTTAGTGACATAATATTTTTATATTTAAAATTTCTATTTCTTATAGAATTTGTTAACATATTCTTAAATTAATATATTTTTTTCATTATAATTCATATTTGATTGTCTCATTATTATTAATGTGTGTCTTAATTGCTTTATTAATATTTATTTATTTTTTCTAATTATGATTCTTCAAGCAAACTTTCATTATGAAATAGATAATAAAGAAAAACTTGCTTCTACATCTTGCAAGAATGGGAATGACCTCTATACAAGTCTTCTCAAACATATGATAGAGATCAAATACAAAATCATATACCTAGATAATACATTCCAAAAAGTATTTGCAATATCAGAAGTTGAACTCATCAAACTTCCAGACAATTAAGAAGATTTGGAAAATTTTATTGATGTTGTTTTTCATACATCTTGTTAGAAAGGAATTAATACTATTGCATTTCATCTGAGAAAAGTAGAAATTACTAATTAAGCTATAACAATCTATAAAAGTGAAAAGATTCTATAGATTTTATAGGAAGTTTACGCTTAAAAGGGTTTAGATTAATAAGACAAGTAGGAATAGTAATTTAATTGCTATGCACTCAGAGATCTCGATTATAAGAATATGATAAGAAGACTTAATTACATACTTTATAGTAAAGAAAACTTTCAAGATTTAACTAAAGAACAACAATAAGAATAAGAATAAATTTTCAGTCTAATAATCCAAAGACCAAATTCCAATAGGAATACTTTATGTATTTTTGAGAATAAAATTGAGATTGTTAAAGTCTTATCTAATTGTAAATTAAATTTCTATTACTTTTTTAGTTTAAATTGATAAAGCACAACTTTATGAAACTAATTTAGCATGGGCTGGGGAAAAAAGAGAAAAAGCAAAACCTAAATTATTTCTTAATGCATAAGTGATAGAATCAAAAAAAATGAAGAATGGTTTTACTTTTGAAACTACAATAAAGGTGGATCATAATTAGAAATCGTAGAATCATTTAATGTTTGTATTGAATCAAAAAGTTCTTGCCTTTTAGTTTCCTTTAAAATTTGGAGATTATTATTGAAAATATTATAGTTTATGAGATTGAATTCAAAATTTATCAATAGCATCTCTTATTTATATAATATCAATGTTATTATATTAAATTTTCATTACTTTTATTTTATAATAAAACTAATATTAGAAGAATCATATTTATATAAATATTCTACTTTAAATTATCTATATTCTTTTATTGTAATTTTAAAATATAATGAGAATTATAAGATAATAATATATATTTATAAAGTAAGTAATATCATATAATTTATTAGACTATAGATTGGCATTCATCAATAATTAGATCAATTTCTCTTTCTAATTTCATAATTTCAAATTTTTGAATTGAAAATTTCATTGCTAATTATATAATGTAATTAACATTTAAATTTAATAATTTAAGTTATTAGACTGAATTTTTTCTAATATTATCTTATTTATATTTAATTTTTTATTTTTGATCAATTCTAGTTTATAAAATTTCTTGATAAATTTGTTCATGAAATGATGAATAATATAGATCAATTTCCCTTTTTATTGATTTACGATGTGTATTATGATTCCAATCTGCTAGTAGATTTTTAAGTTTAATTCTCTTTATTTTTTCATAAGATTCTTATTTTTTTTTAATTATAAATTATTAAACTTAATTTTCTTATTCTACTACTTTACCAAATTTATTCATCAACTTTTATAATTAATTATTAGTTTCAAACATATTAGTTTAAATTGTCTATTGACTTCTAGTAGCAATCAATTCTCTAATAATTTTATAATCTGGATCAGTAACTAATGCTAATCTTCTTTTTTTAGTTTTTAGTAACATTTATTTAATTCTATCAACAGCCTTTATTTATATTAATAAAACATACTAATCTAAATTTCTCTCTAAGTAGTTTTTTCCTAGCTTACTTTTAACCAACAACTGATAACATTAAATCCTATTAAACACTGATATAATTTCTAAAATCTATTTTAGATTTAAATTATTATCTATTTTCACTTGATCTTCTAATTTATTAAGTTTGAACAACTTTACCTTCTACAATAATGGCTGTAGATCTTTTAAGTCTAACAGCTTATCCTAAATTAATATGAATATATTAATATTACTTTATTTTTATTCTGCATAATCAGATAATAATATTTTTCTTCTCTTATACATCTAATATAATTCAAAAAACTGAGTAGAGTTTTATTTAATCAAAGATTCAAAAAATCTGCCTGGACACATTAATACAACACTTTTTGTAACAGCATGAGCATGCCATCTTCTTAAAGTCTATTCAATTGATTCTACTTCTCCAAAGACTGTTCCTTCCATTACTCTTAAAATACATTCACCAGAAGCATCAGATAATCTTACATCACCACTTAATAGATAATAGAAATCTGATGAACTTTAACCTATATGATATATTGTAGAATATTCATCAAATTTAGCAAAAGTACAATAAGGTAATACCATGGTAGAGAAATTAATATCATTTGCAATAAAAGGTACAATTTTAAAAATATCTTTATGAGTTGATGCAATAAGGTATTATCTAAGACTCCAAGGCAAAGCTTAGATCATTTCAATAGTATTACGTGCCCAAAAAGGATTATGAGATATATTAAATTTAGTAAATGATATTAATTCTATGAGTACTTCTTCAATCATGAATGTTTAATCTCCCAATTCCTCCAATAATATTAATTAATCTTCATATTCTTAACGTGGATTAACATTTACTAAAATGCAAGTAATATCACCAATAGTAAATGAATAGAATCCAACTCCAATCAGCATCCAGAATATTTAAAGAAAAAACTCAAAAGAAGTTTAAGCAGCAATATCTCCATATCCAATAACAGTAACTGTTTAGATTGCCCAATAGAAACAGGTCATATATTATTTTCCTATATTATAATCATAAGCATTTTCTCTTATAATCCAAGTTTCCTAATTAAATTCATCAATTCTAGCACTCCAAAACCATAAACATGCAAAAATATGAGTCAAAATTACCATATCTATAAATATTGTTAAAACTCTTTTAATTCTTAAATCTATATTATAATCTTCTCTATAAAATAGATCTTCGTTTATAATAATTTCTTTCTTTTTAATAATATCATTAGCTGTATGATAATTTTCACGTCTTTCATACATAAAATACTTTGCAATTCTAAATAATCTCATTAATCCTAATATTTTTGTACTTTCATAAGCTTCAAAGGGTATTATAGATAATAAATCAACTATAAACCATCTTTTAATATAATAGGGTATGATCCTATCAAAAGTATGTAAAAGAGTATTATATTCATCAATATGACAACTTATTAAGTTAAATAATATATCAATTGCAAATATAACAGTAAGTATTTGAGTTAATAATGTTCCTACTCCCCTAATATTTTTAGATATAATACTTAGAATGCTAATTAAAATGGCAATATTATTGATGCTATACAATGCATTACTTTCATAAAAATAATCCAAATGATATATATCTTATCATCTGGATAAAAAGGAAAAAAGTTACGATGCCGATATTTATATTCCATATGTTATGACTTCAATTATTCAGCATATTAACGAAGTTCTTTCACAAAATTCATTGCATGTATTAATTTTCTACTTATTTATCGAAATTCACATTTTGCATTTCTTCTTTATATCTAAGAATGACTAACAAAACTAAACTTAAGATGAGAGTCTGTTCTTGACAATGTATTTCTAGATTCAGATGAAAGTGGTTGATTATAAAGTGGCAATCTATTAATTATATATTCTAATACAAATATCTAGAAGTTTTAGCATTATGAATTTTCTTCATTTAATTTGATCCATTCTTATTTCCACTTCTAGATGTAAATTCATTTATAGGAGAATCATCTCCATTTATTGGATATATTTGCATATTCTAAATGTTTTGATTAATTATTATTTACAAACGCAAGAAAAATCAAAATTTTATTATAATATTTTAACTTCATGACTTCAAACATAACTAAAAGTTTTCATAAAACAAATAATTATTTACTTTTCATTTCCACTTCAACTTAATCTTAAATTAATTAATTCTCTTCTTCTTCAATCTAACTTAAAATAACATCTCATTTTTTTATGATCATATAATATCTAAATATTAATATAATTATTTGATCCTATTCTTTTATATCTAGATTAGCAAACTATCTAAACGTATCCATATTATAAATAATATAAATTTTATGTAGCCATTGTATTTAATTAAAATGGCATAAATTATTATATTATGTCAAATAATAATAAACATTTTCCATTACCTTAAACGTTTGATTAAGAAAATATTCCAACAATATCTAAGGTTTAATACCCTTCCTTTGAACTCTAAGATTAGAATTAATTGGCATATAATTAATATGCTCAACCTATTTAACAAGGTTTTCCAATTTAATATACATCAACATATCATAATTGTATAATATATTTAAGATCAAACATAGCTTAAATACCAATATAATCAAATTTCCCAGTTGTTGTGAATTGTTATTATTGTCAGAAACAAATTCAAACTATTGTTTCTTATGAAGCTGGAGCAGGAGCTTATTTAGTTGGAGGAGTCTTGGCTGCTTTGGGACTTTGGTTAGGGTATAAATCAATTTAAATTATATTTAGTTGTTGTTTGATTCCATGTTATTTAAAGGATTGTCAAGATGCAGTTCATTTTTGTTCCTAATGTTCTGCCTAATTGGGAAGGAAAAAATTTATATTTTGAAACAGCTATCATTATCCCATAATCATATCATAATTAAACTCTATTGATCTCATTGATATTTTTTAAACATACTAGTTAATTAATATATTTTCTAATCACTTGTTGAATAATATAAATATATTCTTCACATCTTTTATTTTTTATGTATATAAGACTTAATGATAAATGAAAAATATAGTTATTTCTTATATCATAATTAATTATCTAAACTCATTTTAAAGATTTTAGAAATTTCTATATCTATAAAGAGAAATTAAATTATGAATATACATATTCTGGAAAATCATATTAATTTTTTAATTATTAAATAAGTACTAATTATATCTATAAGATATACCTAATAATCTAGTATTTTAAATATTAAAATTTATTAATTGAAAAATTTAGAATTAGTTCAATTTATTATAAAATTTATAATAAAGAATTTCAATAGTAATAAGCACAAATTAATTATATATAATATATATATTTATTGTTTATATTATAATTATAGCTTAAAATAAAGAATTTATTATTCTAAACAATTTTAATGATCTTAATATTTCTTGATATAGATAAATATCTGGGAAATTAATATATTTTGAATTAGATCTTATAAATATTTATCATTGATTTCTACCCACCATTTCTGAAATATAGGGCCCTTATGCCTTTATTACAATAAAATCTGCTATGGGATGAGGTAAGAATCTGACTAGATTTGATAATAACCAATAGAATGAAGGGATAGAATGTACATCTTTTTAATTTTCTATTGCATCAATAATTTCAATGGCAACTCTTTCTTCTTTTAATTCTGGTAGTAGAAAATCAATTTTAGATTTAACTCCTTTAAACATACCTGTATTAATTGCCCAAGGAGCAATAAATGTACATTTAACAGGACTTTTTTTCAATTTTAATTCAACTCTCAAACTATTATGAAAACCAAGTAGAGCATGTTTGGAGGCACAATATGCTGCTACTTTTAATCCTGTTATAATTGATAATACAGATCCTATATTTACTATATGTCCAAATTTTTAAGCTTCCATTTTAGGTATAAGTAATTTGGTTAGTAGAACTGGAGCAAGATAATTAACTGCATGAGTCAATTATAGATCTTGAAATGATTATTCTGAGAATAATTTTAGTTTAGCAACTCCAGCATTATTGATTAAAATATGAATTGGTTCATTGATTTAATTAATAGTTTCAATGATCTACTCTTATTTTGATAGATCACATTCATAAAATGATACTTTACCTCCATATTGTTCAATTGTATTTTTAAGATCAGCAATAAGATCTTTTCTAATGTCTAAGATAATTATTTTGCATTATTTCATTGCCAATAATTTACACATTTATTTACCAATACCCATGCATCCTCCTGTAATTAGAATAGTCATATTGGAATCTAGTTTGATTTTTTTTTATTTCCTAAGTAAAAAGTATGTCAGAAAAATAATGAAAAAAGTCAGGGTATAAGGAATAATCATAAATATAATATTATTTATAATTTATAATTTATAATTAGTTTAGATATTTATAAACAACACATGATTTCATTCTTCATTAACATCTACATTCTATTCTTAAGATTCAATTCTAGCTTTTAATTTTTGATCACCTTTTCTAAGTTTCTTTCTTTTTTTTAAGGCTAAAGTACTGAGATCTTGTTATTAAACGAAAACCTTTCCTCTTTTATCACCTACTTCATCATAAACAATATTTTTTTCCTAAAATTATTAATATATTTATTTACATGTGGTTTAGCTTTTGGTTTAGGTTAACGACATGCTTTCTTAAATAATTCATCATCTGCCCATTTAGTTCTTCTAATTTCAAAAATACTTCTAGGTCCAATTTCTTAAATTTTAATACCATCTTCATGATTCTATTTTTATAATATTGTTATTGCTAAACTTGTATCATTTGTTGCAGTAATACTTATAATTAAATGAATTTCTTATGATTTTATATCTTAAATAGGAACATTTTCATAAAAGAAATCTGTAAAAAGATTATGTAATTTCATATGATTTGGATTAAATCCAAAAACATCACCATTAAAAATAATTAATGGTCTTGCATGCATAGGAATTTCAACAGAAGTACCAAATTCTTCTTGACTTTTGAATTCTTTTAAATGTAATTCAACCATATCTAATATTTTTTTATCAAATGTTCTTCCAATAATAAGATTATCAGGACGTTTCTTTGAATTTGATACAAAACAAAACATTGAACATTAACTTCTTTCACAAAATGTTTCTAATTGTTTACTATCTTCAAATGGTTAAATTTCATGATTCTTATTATATGTTGTACTAAAATCTCTTTTTATCAAATGCCATTCATGTGCCAATTATCTTACACTAAGAGAAGTCTTAGGACCTCGTATGAAGAGAGTTTGTTTTGGACCTTCAACTAATTTAGGTTCTCGAGACTCTAGAATTCTTTTGCCTTTATGAGTCTTAGCTCCTCTAGGTGTTGTTTCTTCTTGATCAGACATTATAATTTTAATTTAATTTAAAGAATTTTATAAATATAAATTTNTGTAATTAGAATAGTCATATTGGAATCTAGTTTGATTTTTTTTTATTTCCTAAGTAAAAAGTATGTCAGAAAAATAATGAAAAAAGTCAGGGTATAAGGAATAATCATAAATATAATATTATTTATAATTTATAATTTATAATTAGTTTAGATATTTATAAACAACACATGATTTCATTCTTCATTAACATCTACATTCTATTCTTAAGATTCAATTCTAGCTTTTAATTTTTGATCACCTTTTCTAAGTTTCTTTCTTTTTTTTAAGGCTAAAGTACTGAGATCTTGTTATTAAACGAAAACCTTTCCTCTTTTATCACCTACTTCATCATAAACAATATTTTTTTCCTAAAATTATTAATATATTTATTTACATGTGGTTTAGCTTTTGGTTTAGGTTAACGACATGCTTTCTTAAATAATTCATCATCTGCCCATTTAGTTCTTCTAATTTCAAAAATACTTCTAGGTCCAATTTCTTAAATTTTAATACCATCTTCATGATTCTATTTTTATAATATTGTTATTGCTAAACTTGTATCATTTGTTGCAGTAATACTTATAATTAAATGAATTTCTTATGATTTTATATCTTAAATAGGAACATTTTCATAAAAGAAATCTGTAAAAAGATTATGTAATTTCATATGATTTGGATTAAATCCAAAAACATCACCATTAAAAATAATTAATGGTCTTGCATGCATAGGAATTTCAACAGAAGTACCAAATTCTTCTTGACTTTTGAATTCTTTTAAATGTAATTCAACCATATCTAATATTTTTTTATCAAATGTTCTTCCAATAATAAGATTATCAGGACGTTTCTTTGAATTTGATACAAAACAAAACATTGAACATTAACTTCTTTCACAAAATGTTTCTAATTGTTTACTATCTTCAAATGGTTAAATTTCATGATTCTTATTATATGTTGTACTAAAATCTCTTTTTATCAAATGCCATTCATGTGCCAATTATCTTACACTAAGAGAAGTCTTAGGACCTCGTATGAAGAGAGTTTGTTTTGGACCTTCAACTAATTTAGGTTCACGAGACTCTAGAATTCTTTTGCCTTTATGAGTCTTAGCTCCTCTAGGTGTTGTTTCTTCTTGATCAGACATTATAATTTTAATTTAATTTAAAGAATTTTATAAATATAAATTTAATAAATATATTTATATATAAGAAATTTACTATTTGATTAAAATATCAATAATCGCTTTCTTCACTTTCCACTTCATCATCTTCATGTTCTGATTTGATATCATTATCTTCTAATGCCATTAAATTTCTCTCTCTTTCTCTATTATTATAAATTATTAATTATACTCTTATTTTCTTTCTTCTTCTAATAATTTCCTTTATCTAGCTTTAATTTCTTATTATATTCTTAATTATTTTAATTGTTCTTTCTAAATATCTTTTTATGTCTAGGGTTCTAATCTTGGCTATTTGTATTTGTTTAAAGTAGGAGGTTTTCTGTTTTTCAATTTTTTGATATGATTACTCATTCTTATTTTGAATTCATCTTCTTTATTGGTATGTAAGTCTTTATGCTAGATGATGATAAATATAGTATGAATACTTTTTTGACTAAGAATGATGTTAGAATATCT